CTGTCTCTCTCTCTCAAAAATAAATAAACATTAAGAAATTTTGAAAAACTCTAAATATGAGACCTGAAACCATAAAAATCCTCGAGGAGAACACAGGCAGTAACTTTTTTGCCATCAGTTGTAGCAACTTCTGCCTAAATATGTCTCCTGAGGAAAGGGGAATAAAACCAAAAATAAATTATTGGGACTACATCAAAATTAAAGGCTTATGCACAGTGAAGGAAACAATCAATAAAACTAAAAAAGCAATCTACTGAATGGGAGGAGATATTTGCAAATGACATATCTCATACATGGTTAGCATCCTAAATATATAAAGAAGTGATACCACTCAATACCCCAAAACCAACTGGGCAAGAGACATGAACAGATATTTCTCCAAAGAAGACAGAGATAGTTAACAGACACATAAAAAGATGCTCGGTTAGCAGCCGGGTGGAAGTGGGAGGGAAGAAAAAAAGAGAAAAAAAGATGCTCAATATCAGTCATCATCAGGGAGATGCAGATCAATGCAAATCAAAACTACAATGTGATATCATCTCACACACATCAGAATGGCTAAATCAAACATCAAAAACACACGAAACAATTTCTTGTTGGTGAGGATGTGGAGAAAAAGGACCCCTCTTACAGTGTTGGTGGGACTGCAAACTGGTGAAGCCACTGTGGAAAACAATATGGAGATTCCTCAAAAAATTAAAAATAGAACTACTCTACAATCTGGTAATTGCCTTTCTAGGTATTTAACCAAAGAATACAAGAACACTAATTCAAAGGGATACATACACCCTATGCTTATAGCAGCATTATTTACAAAGCAGGATATGGAAGCAGCCAAGTGGTTCATCGATAGACGAATGGATAAAGAAGATGTGGTATATACATACAATGGGATATTAGTGAGCCATAAAAACATTTGCAACAGCATTGATGGAGCTAGTGAGTATAATGCTAAGTGACATAAATCAGAGAAAGACAAATGCCATATGATTTTCTTCATATGTGGAATTTAAAAAACAAAAGAAACAAGCAAAGGGAAAAAAATAAGAGAGAGAGGAGAGAGAGAGAAATCAAAAAACAGATTCTTAATTATGGAGAATAAACTGATGGTTACCAGAGGGGAAGTGGGTGGGGAGAATGGGTTAAATAGGGAGAAAGAAAATTAAGTTATTTTAGTTATTTTGGTGCCAACTTAATATTACATAAAATTAATATACTCTAATATAGGGGCGCCTGGGTGGCTAGTCAGTTAAGCGTCAGACTTCGGCTCGGGTCATGTTCTCACAGTTCGTGAGTTTGAGCCCCGCATGGGCTCTGTGCTGACAGCTAGCTCAGAGCCTGGAGCCTGTTTCGGATTCTGTGTCTGTTTCGGATTCTGTGTCTCCCTCTCTCTCTGACCCTCCCCTGCTCATGCGCTCTCTCTCTCAGAAATAAATAAAACATTAATAAAATTTTTTTAATTAAAAAAAAGAAAAAATATACTCTAATATGCAGCCATCATCTTTTGGTCTAATGTTGTACCCTATTGACAGTACTGTTTTTTTGTATCTACATTTTGATTTGCATTTTTGTCTTATTTAAAATTTTTTATTTTAGAGAGGGGTGGGGGGAGAGAAAGAGAGGGAGGGAGGGAGGGGCAGAGGAGGAGAGAGAGAATCTTAAGCAGGCCCCACACCCATCGCAGAGCCCAACACAGTGCTCGATCTCACAACTATGAGATCGTGACATGAACCAAAATCAAGAGTTCAACACTCAAGTGACTGAGCCACCGAGGCACCCCTAGTTTGCATTTTAAAATGATTGTTTTAAGGATAATGTTCTAGAAATTAGATTAAAGATAGAAACTTTTTATAATGGATGGCATATACTGCAAGACTGCTTCCGGAAAGGTTCTCTCTGTTTACACTAAGTCTAGTTAACAGTGTGCCTTTTGCACTCTTGCCCAAACTGAGTAGTAGTATTTAACACTTCTCTTTTCTTTTTTTCCCTTTTCCTTTCCCTTTTTTTTTTTTCTAAGTTGACAGTTGAAAAATATATCACTGTTGTTTTCATTTGCATTTCTTTGATTGCCTCTGAGGTTGAAACAAAGGTGTTCCTTTCTAAAAATTCCTCTCTTTTGTGTCAGGGTTTTTGTTCTGTTTCTAAGATTTGATTTTCTTCCAGAACAGCTCCCCTTCTCAACTTCCTGATCTCTGACAAGGGCAGTTTCACTCTCCCAACTTTCCCAGTTTCTTTCTTTTTTTTTAAATTTTTTTATTTTTTAATGTATTTTTTAATGTTTATTATTATTGAGACAGAGAGAAACACAGCATGAGTGGGGGAGGGGCAGAGAGAGAGGGAGACACAGAATCCGAAGACAGGCTCCAGGCTCCGAGCTGGCTGTCAGCACAGAGTCCGACACGGGGCTCGAACCCACAGACCGAGAGATGGTGACCTGAGCCGAAGTCGGATGCTCAATCGACTGAGCCACCCAGGAGCCCCCCGACTTTCCCAATTTCTGAGTCAGAGGTTATTTTTCTCTTCTTCAATTTCTGGTTTCCCGTCAGTCACCCACGATGGTGATTCCCTCCTTTGAAAGTGTTTTTCTGTTTCATCTTGTTAAAATGAAAACCACAGGCCCCAAATGGTGTCACTTAGGTTAAGGCTCCAAGTCTATAAACCAAGACTTAATAATACCTAATCCAACTGCGGTGTCAACTCCCTAGAAATGTAGCCTTTAGCCAGTCAACACTAGGATATTTACTAAGGGGCCCCTTTTGTTTCCCTTAGAAAGGTGATCTTGCCTAAAACAATGAATTCTTCGCTAATAATTTCCTTTCTTCCACTTCCTTTCTACCTTTAAAAACCTTTCCTTTTCTGTAGCCCCTTGGAGCTCCCTTCCACTTGCTAGACGGGATGCTGCCCGCTGTGTGGATGGATTAGTAAAGCCAATTAGATCTCTACAATTCACTTAGTTGAATTTTTGTTATTTGGCAAATACCATGAAAATGGTACCATCATTAGCCAAGGCCACAGAACTCCCACCTGGATTACAGCGGAAGCTTCCTGGCAGTTCTCTGTGCTCCTAGTCCCTCCTACGACTTTCTTCCACCTGCCTCAGTACTGACTTCCAAAGCAGCGCCTTCTGCATGTCGCTCCCTTGTCCACCGAACCAGGCCCAGGAGGCTCTGCCAACATTTGCCACCTCGGCACCAGCACCACTTCCCAAAGCTTCCCAGCTGGACTGCCCCCCACCCCCATCCTGGGGGTTGCCTCACTGCTTTCCCCCAGCATTCCTGCTTCCTGGATGCGCTCATTCCCGCTGCCTATTCTTGTAAAGCTTGGTGCAATACTGTTCTTCTCCACGATCTATTCCAGACTCACCCGCACTCTTAGACCTTCCACACCACCTTGTGATCTCTTTTACAAAGCATGTGACGTCCTGAGGCGCCTGGGCGGCTCAGTTGGTTGAGCCTCGTGAGCGTGAGCGTCAGACTCTTGATTTCAGCTCAGCTCATGATCTCCTGGTTCATGACTTCAAGCCTTGCGTCCAGCTCCGTGCTGAGTGTGGAGCCTGCTTAAGATTCTCCTTCTCTTTCTGCCTCCTTCCCCACTTGCCTATGCTCTGTCTCTCTCTCAAATTAAAAACAACAGGGGCACCTGGGTGGCTCAGTCGGTTAAGCGTCCGACTTCGGTTCAGGTCATGAACTGGCGGTTCGTGGGTTCGAGCTCCGTGTTGGGCTCTATGCTGGCAGCTCAGAGCCTGGAGCCTGCTTCGGATTCTGTGTCTCCCTCTCTCTCTCTGCCCCTCCCCCACTCACTCTCTGTCTCTGTCTTTCAAAATAAAATAAAGACATAAAAGAAAAAAACCTGCATTTGCTATGTAAAATAGCCTTTAAAGCCCTCCACTACAGGAATTCTGGTCACAGGTCCCTGCCTGGAAAACTTTCCAGAGAAAGTACTGTATAGTATACCCCACAGGCCCAGATTTTAATCCTGGCTCTGCTACTTTCTGAAGTCAAATTTAAAAGGTAGAAAAGGGTGGGGCGCCTGGGTGGCTCAGTTGGTTGAGCATCCAACTCTTGATTTTGGTTCAGGTCATGATCTCACACTTCATGAGATCAAACCCCGAGGTGGGACTCTCTGACAGCATGGAGCCTGCTTGGGAGTCTCTCTCTCCCCTTCGCCCCCTCTGTCTCTCTCAAAATAAATAAGTAATCTTAAAAAAAAGGTAGAAAAGGGTATGTACTGTAAAGGCCCCCTTCCGCACTGGTGTCACGGGTATTCACTTTCTCTTCCCAGAGGCAACCAAAGTTACCATTTTCTTACATTCATTTCTAGAACATTTGTTCCTATACAAGGCAGATGATAGAGAGATAAATACCGATAGATAAATTTCTCCCTCCTTTTTAAACAAATGGTAGCCTAATATCTTGCTTGATTCAATTCGTCACGTATCTTCACTATTATTCCTTTTTAACTACTAAAGAGCTCCCTTCTTGTACAGCATTCCACTGAATGGGTGAATTATTTACTTAACCTATTCCTTCCTGGTGGACCCCTATTTTTGTACGTGCGTTTGTAATTCTGGTAGCTACTATAAATTACCTTCCAGAGAAATTGTACCGGTTTATGTTCTTGTCAACAACATGTAAGCCAGAGTCCAGGCAACTACTTAAACTCTCTGAGCCTCTGTTTCCTTATCTACAAAACAAGCCAAACAGTACCTACTTCCTGAAATCATAGTGACAATTACTTGCGATGAGGCGTGGAAAGTATTTGTCAGGGAGAAGTTGATATTCTTGAAATAAGGATATTATTTTATTTTGGTCAGTGCGATATTGTCCTGGCCAATCAAGTGAAGGTGATGGGGCTTCCTCACCAGTCTGGGGTTTTCCCATTACGGACAGATTCTGCAGGAAGTTAGCAATTGACATCAGAAAGGTTGTGGGCATTGCTTTCCCCAGGGGTGCCATGTCTTTAGGGTACCCCAACCTCCTCCGTGTGGCTTCTGCTCCCAGGTCCCTCCAAGCTGAAAACTCGCGTTGACTCCAAAAGAATCCTGTGGGACCGAGGCTCCTTTCCTCTGGTCATCAAGAATCTTGAAACAGCAGACTCCGGGCTTTACATCTGTGAGGTGGAGGAAATTAAGAAAGAGGTGGAGTTGCTGGTGTTCAGCTGTGAGTACATGAAGATGCCACCCAACCGGCCCTCCCTGGCTCCCATTACTGCCCCTAAACCAGGCCCTGGGCTAGTGGTACCTCAACAGTCCAGAGACAGGTCAGACTGGCCACCACATCTCCTCAAATCCTCCTCAGGCCTTGAGACAGGCAGTGGGAATGGAAGAAACCTGGGGTGGGGGTGGGGGGTGAGGGGGGCCGGGAAGCAGAGGAAGGAGGGAGAGAGGCCCAAGAAGAAGGGAAGGGAGATGAGAAGGGAACTCTGCCTTGGGCGTGTGGGGGTGAGGAAGGGCCCACAGGTGTTAGCAGGGGTGATGGAGAGATGCTCTTGGTTTCCTGGCTTCTTCATTCCCCTTGGGAAATGTGTGTGTGTGTGTGTGTGTGTGTGTGTGTGTGTGTGTGTGACACTGGTGACCTGCTCCTTCCACAGTGACTGCCAAGGTGAACACTGGCAGCAGCAGCAACAGCAGCACAATCCACCTGCTGAAAGGGCAGAGCCTGACCTTGACCTTGGAGAGCCCCTCTGGTAGTAACCCTTCGGTGCAATGGAAAGGTCCAGGGAACAAAATCAAGAATGGGGTCCACAGCTTCTCACTGTCCCAGCTGCAGCAGAGTGGTACCTGGACATGCACTGTCTCCCAGAGCCAGAAGACGCTAGTGTTCAACATAGACATCTTGGTGCTGGGTACGGGGGGCTCATCACCCCTGCAGTCTCCCCTCTGCCTCAGTGGCAGGCAGATCCTCCCTCTGCTCTCACTCCTCTGCTCCTGGGTCCACTGCTGGGGAACATAGGGAGGCTAGGGCCAGCACCCCGGCCCCCCAGAGCTGAATATGTCCCGAGGTATACACTTGGCCCTCTCGTCCTCAGGATGCTGATCAATAGCCACCCCTCAGGGTGGTGGACATGGAGGAAGGAAGGAACGGACAGGGGATGTAAGGATGTGAGGGGCCCCAAAGACCCCTGGAGGAGGCCCCAAAGGAGGAACAACATCAAGGGCATCTGCTTTCTTTGTTGTCTCAGCTGCTCAGTCCCACTAAGCTGTAAATCCACTTACTTGGGGACCCTAACACCAGCAAGCCAGCCCTGATGAAATTCTACATTTCTCATTTAAATTGTGAGCCGGGGGGGGGGGGGGGGGGGGGGGGGGGGCACCTGGGTGGCTCAGTCAGTTAAGCCTCTGACCTTGGCTCAGGTCCTGATCTCAGCCCCGCCCCCTCCCCCCAAATACAAACCTTAGGTCGGGCTCTGTGCTGCCATTGTGGAGTGCCTGGAGCCTGCTTCAGTCTCTGTGTCTCCCTCTCCCTCCCACTCATGCTATGTCTCTCATTCACTAACTTTCTCAAAAATGAATAAATATTTAAAAAATTTTAAATCGTGAGACATGCACCCTGGTTGGGGGAGGCCAGGTACCAAGAGCCCAGAATGCAAGTCCTACCCCAGATCTTGTCCTCTGTACTTACGTGACACAAGGCAGTTGTAATGTGGTGGTGAAGTGCACAGCCTGACTTAAATCCTGGCTCTGACTTCACCTTGGGCCAGTTACTGAACCTCTCTGTGCCTTGGTTTCCGGGATGATGTTCAATGTGATGATACCTTCCCTGTAGTGTTGCATGGCACACGGTAAGCCCTAGTCAGGCACTTGCTCTTATCTTTTTTTTTTTTTTAATATTTTTATTTATTTCTAGGAGAGAGAGAGAGACAGCGTGAGCAGGGGAGGGTCAGAGAGAGAGGGAGTCACAGACTGAAACAGGCTCCAGGCTCTGAGCTGGCAGTCAGCATAGAGCCTGACGTGGGGCTCGAACCCACGAACCGCGAGATCGTGACCTAAGCGAAAGTCGGACGCTTAACCGACTAAGCCACCCAGGCGCCCCGGCACTTGATCTTATCTTATGAAGGCTGAGAAATTATGCATCGAAGTAGTGCATGCCAGACGCTCCCTGTGGTCCAGGGATCCTGAGGACAGAGAGTATCCTGTGGCTGGGCTGTTCTATGAGGGTTTCCAGGGGGAGGCGGCGCTGCCTTGGGAATCTGCTGGGGTGGAGAGACTAGAGAAATTTGGAGAGGTAGATGGGAACTTAAGGGCCAGAAATGGCAACCTGAGTGCTTGAGCTCACCTGGTCCCCTTCCATCTCTTCGCTGCCCCCACCAAATGCCCACCTTACCCTCTACACTCTCATCTTATCTCCTGACCCACCTTCTCTCTCTTCCCCCTCCAGCTTTCCAGAAGGTCTCTAACACCATCTATACGAAAGAAGGGGAGCAGGTGGAGTTTTCCTTCCCCCTTAACTTCGAAGCTGAAGACCTGATGGGGGACCTGAGCTGGAAGGCAGAGGGGGCTCCCTCCTCCCTGCTCTGGATCTCCTTCACCTTGAATAACAAGAAGCTATCTGTGATAGAAGCTAACCACAATCCCAAACTCCAGATGAAGGACTCGCTCCCACTCTGCTTTACCCTGCCCAGGGTTTCGTCTGGGTATGCTGGTTCTGGGAACCTGACCCTGGCCCTTGGCAATGGGCAGTTGCAGCAGGAAGTAAAACTCGTGGTGATGAGAGGTGAGGAGGTAGGCTGAGCAGGGGAGGGCAGGGGCCGGAGATGGAGGGGTGAAGCCCAGGGCCCTCCCAGCAGGACAGGCCCGGTTGCCTGACAGAGCTGATCCAGGGTCTTCTGGTTTCAAATTGAGACTAGAATCCACATGTCCTTCCTTGACATCCATGAGCCAGCCTGGGGTGGGTTCCGCTGAGAACCTCCAAAGGGCATGAGCTGAGAACCAGGTTCTTTCTTTTTTTTTTTTTATGTTTTATTTTATTTTTGAGAGACAGAGACAGAGCATGAGGGAGGGGCAGAGAGAGAGGGAGACACAGAATCCAAATCAGACTCCAGGCCCTGAGCTGCCAACACAGAGCCCCACGTGGGGCTTGAACCCACTAACCGTGAGATCATGACCTGAGCTTAAGTCGGATGCTCAATTGACTGAGCCACTCAGGCGCCCCGAGAACGAGGGTTCTAATTCTGCCTTCAGCCAACCCTCTATGATGCTGACTAAGCGCCCTGCCTCTGTGGGCCTCTTTCTCCTAATGAAGGTAACAAAATCTGCTCTTAGTGTGAAAGTGATGAGGGTAGAGTCAGGCTCCACCCTGAGCCCTTTACTTCCTTATCTCCCCCATCATCATAACTCCACAAATAATCGTAGCTAATACTTGCTGCTTAGTACACGCCAGACCCACTCAAACTCTTTGCGTGTGTTTGTGCATTTATCGTGTATTTAATTGTTGTCTGCGGCTTGGTTGTCAGGTAACTGGCAGGCACACACAGAAAGTAAGCGGTGGGGTTGGGATCCAAATCCAAGACCCTCGGCCTCAAAAGCTGTGTTTGCTTTATACAACCGCATGAAAATGTGCTCTGAGAGCCTCAAAGAAGAGCATCCACGGAAAGTGTTTTGATTTTTCTACCAAATCCCCTTAGAGCATGGAGGTGCCAGGAACTCTGAGGCCCAGGCTCCCAGCCTCAAGCTCTTTTCCCTCTGCAGTGACTCAGTCGGAGAACAACTTGATCTGTGAGGTGCTGGGACCCACCTCCCCCGAGCTGACGCTGAGCTTCAAACTTGAAACGCAGACCTCTGCCAAGGTCTCGAAGCAGCAGAAGATGGTACGGGTGGAGAACGCTGAGGTGGGAACATGGCAGTGTCTACTGAGCGACAAGGGCGAAGTCCTGCTGGCATCCAACGTCGAAGGTGAGCGAGGATCCAGGCTCCGTGGCCTAACCCCAAGCCCCTCCCTCTTCATCTGTGGGACCTCTCCCGGGTGGGTGGAGGCCACCCAGAGCCCTAGCCTCCCAATCCCTCTGGGCCGGGGGGGGCTATTTCTCATGATGCCTGGACTCACAGGGGCCATGACGGAAGACCAGGTGAGGTTCTTACCTAAAATCCCACAAGGTCCCACTTCCCTAAGCTCTACAGCCCCGGAATGGGCCCACCTGACCAAGAATCCCCGCCATGGTTCCTTTCCAAACCCCGACATGCGCACACACACCGCACACACACCGCACACGCACTGGCACTGCAGACAGCCTGAAACTTCTGCTTCCAGTCCCCAGGGTGCCCTGTAGTCTCTAAACCCTAAAGCCCCTTCCCCAGCCTTTCCCCGTCAGCCCGGTGGCCTGTGAGAGCCCTGCAGACCCTACCCTGCTCTCCCAACCCAAGGATGAGACCCAAGTGTCACTGGGCGGTGAGGCCTTCCCGGGCCCCTCCAGAATGCCCAGACCCCTGACAGAGGGCAGTGAGCTGAACACATCTGTTTTCTCTTGCAGTTTCGCCTCCAAAGCTCACGAGCGCCTGGCCAAATCTCTTGGCCATCGTGCTGGGCGGGGTTGCTGGCCTTCTGCTTTTCACTGGGCTCTGCATCTTCTGCTGTGTTAAGTGCTGGCACCGCAGGGTGAGTGAGCCTCCCCAGAACCCCCCTTCCAACCCCCCCCCCCCCAAGGGTATCCTGCGTCTGTGCGGCACTTATGCTTTGGCTCTCTCCACGCCGCCCACCAGCCCTGTCCCAGATCCCATGCAAGGGAAGAGACTGGAAAGAGCAAAGGGTTACTTCCGGGACAGATGGCCTCAGCCACAGTAACTGCTTCTCCCCTCCCAGCTCTCCCTATTCCCTCCTCCAAGGGGCACCTCCCTTCTGGAGGCCTGGGACCCTCACGACTCCCCTCCTTCTTCCTGGACAGCGCCAGGCAGAGCGGATGTCTCAGATCAAGAGACTCCTCAGTGAGAAGAAGACCTGCCAGTGCCCCCAGTAAGGAACTGGGTTGAGGGGGAGGGGAGAGTGGGAAGGGGAGGGCAGGAGAGGAAAGGAGAGAGGAAAGAGGAGGGATGGAGGGGAGGAGATGGGGGTTAAAGGGAGGTGATGGGTGAGGAAAGAAGGGTGCAAAGGGGTGGCAGAGGGCGTAGGAAGCAGGAAGAAGGCGGAGGGCACAGGAGAAGGGGCCGCGGGCCTGGGATATCTCTGCGTATGGCCCTGCAGCTCTGCCCCGGAGGCCACCAGGGCACTAGAAGGGCAAGTGCAGGATGGGAGACACAGAGCTGTGAGGAGGCAAAGGAGTTGGGGAGGAATAAACTTGCTTTTCTTTGTTCCTCCAGCCAGTTACGGAAGACGTGTAATCTCATTTGAGGCACAGGACCGGGGAGCCTCCCACTCGCAGTGCAGCCTCCCCAGCTGTCTCCCCTCGCGTTTCCTGCGGGGCTCCCGGGCCTGCAGACCAGATGAATGTAGCAGACCCCAGCGTTGCCGGCCACCCCCTGCTCTCTCCCCCTGCTCTCTCCGGCCACACTTTGCCATTGGCCCTCCTCCTGCAGAGGCCTACACCGTTTCCTCCCATTTCCTTTGCATCAGGCCCAGCCCTTATCGATGATTTTTTTCCCAGCTCTCTCTCCCATTGCCCACTGGTCCCAGGGAATCACATGGGACCAGCCCTGCCTGGCGTGGAGGGCAAGGCTGGGTGTCTGAAGCATGAAGCATAGGACTGTCATTTTATTGGGAGGGACCCTGGGACCTGAAGGGGCAGGGACTGGCCCAAGATCACACAGCCAGTCGAGAGCACATCCAGATTAAAAGCCTCCTGACTGCTAGCCTCCACGACTCATTCTCCTTGCTTCCTCACTCTGTTTTGGCAGGGCACAGACTCACATCCTGACCTGTGCACAAACAGGCACCCCTGGACACGAGCCCATGCACACAGCCCACACTTGTGCCCAGACACAATTCCTTATCACCCAAGCAGTACATCTCAGTTGATGAGCCAGTCTCACGTCCTCTGTCTGTTTAGACCTTATGAAAATCTTACAAAGCTAGTACTGACAGGACCAAGATTAGCATCTCTAGCTTATAGACCGGAATTGGAACTCAGAGAGGTCAGATGATTGCTCAAGGTCACACAGCTAGTATGTACCAGAATCAGGACTAAGCCCAGGTCTCTTAACCCCCAGTTCCATGGCTGTTTCCTGAATGCAGAGACAAACACCATGCAAATCTCTGCAGCTGGTTAGTCACTGATGCCCAGTGCCCACCTTTGGATTCGTAAGAGCACACCAGCCCACTCAGGGCCTGCCTCAGAGAGTTCAGAAACACGGAAGAGGCCCTCCCTCCCTAAAATCCCTCTCTCTCACCTGCTGGTGACAGAATCCTGTTACCAGAGGACAAAAGCTGGCAGTTCTCCTAATCAGAGCACAGGCTGGGAACACAGGCCCTGTGGGAGAGAGTGCCCGGTGACCTACCACTCACCCTGTTGCAGAACCTTCTGGAAGGTGAGCTTTGCCAGGAGGAGGGGGTGGGGAGCTGGCTGGAGAGAGAACTCTGAGAGGACTTCCTGGGAAGGCTTCAGCCCCCCAGTCCCTCCCCCTGCACTTTTCTCATCCCTCCCCCAAACCATTCAGGAAGCAGGAAAATTGGGGTTACAAGGACTCTTGTCTTTGTGAACCATCTCTCTCAGGATCCTCAGCCTCCTCTGCCTTTCCTTCCTTCCCTTTCTCACTGCCTGTGTCAGTCCCTACCCCTTTTCCCTTGTCTTTTCTTTCTAGCTTGCCGCTTCCAGTAAGAACACCAAATTGTCGCCAAGGCTCCCCACTGCTTGCTTGGATGCTTGCTTCATATTCCTGCCCACTCCCACCCCTGCTTCTCCCCGCTGGCAGAAAAAATACAATAAACTTACTGTAAAGAAGATGTTCTTCGTGTGTGTGTGTGCGTGTGTGTGTGACAGACAGCCACAGACAGACCCGTCTCTGGGCACCTGGATCTCCCAATCTCTGGGATCAGACAGACCCAGAGGAGAGGTGGGCAGCTTCCAGGGGAAGGAGACGAAGTTTCCCTGCGAAAGGAAACCTTCTCCGGAGGCCCATCACCCACCCTCCCACCCCACACGGCCTGTATGTGCAGGAGGCCAAGACCTTGTAATCCTGCGCGTGTGATGTACGAGGGAGAGGCCGCAGGGGTTCTGTGCGCTGTGCACACGCGCGTGTGTGGTGGAGAAAAAAGACTAAGAGAAACTGTAACGTGTGCGTGCTAATTGTGCGCGCCCCCAACAGAAGTGTGAGTTTGTGCTCCAGGAGAAGAAAGCGGTATGTGTGCGGCGCGGGGGATGCATTCTTTTAGACCTGTGTCCACCCCCGCTCCCCAGCAGCCCCAGCTCTATCACCACCTCCAGCACATGCCCCCCTGGGCTACACCCGGGGCGCAGCCCTCACGGATACACACAGTGACACACGCTTCCTCCGCCCGAGCAGCCGGCTCCTCGGTCCCCGAACACCACCAGCTGCTTCTCTGAGTCTGTGTTCGTGTGGAAAACCGGGGTGGGGTGGGGGCAGGACGCGAACCGTCTCACCAATGAAGCCGGTCGCCTTCCTTGCCCCTCCCCCTCCAAGTCACCGCCGTCCAGTTCCCCGCCCCGCACTCGCCCCCGCGCCCCCCGCGCCTCTTCCCTGCCGGACCCGGACCCGGGGCTCACGGCGGCATGCCTCCGGGAGAGGGGGCTTGCACGGACCCGGGGGGTGCAGAGACTGAGTGAGCGGCGGGCCGAGCCCGGGAGGCTGGGACCGAGGAGGGGGAGGGAGGCCCGGAGGGAAGGAGGGAGGGAAGGAGGAGGGCGGGCGAGCTGGAGCCGGCGGGCGGCGGGAGCCCGGGCGAGCCGCGTCGGGAGTGCGGTCTCCATGGCAGTGCCGGGCGCGGCCAGAGGTAAGACGACCCCCGCCCTGTCCCCCGTGGCCCCCTCCTCTCCTCCCCCCCAGCCAGCCACCTTCTCTCCCCTCCGGCCGGCCCCTCCCCCCCAGCCACCTGCTGTCACTGCCCTGGAGAAAACGGTGGGCGGTAGGAGGGAGGAGTCGCCTGACCTTACCCCTTCACCCCGAAGGGCGACGGACCCCTGTCCGCGGCGGAGTCCCCCAGATCATCCCTCCCACCTTCCTCTGATCTTTCTCTGTCCTTCACCTCCTCTCTGTCCTTCACATCCTCCCTCCCTCTCTGACTCCCCATCTCTTTTTTCCTGAGCCCACCCGCTGAGCCTGGGTGGGGGTAGGTAGGAAGGGGTGCCAGGCTGTAGGGGAGAGTAGTGGGGGGGGGCGCTTCTGACCAATTCCTTCCACCTCCCTCTGGCTGGCCATTGCCATGGCAACTAGGGTATACTGGGCTCCGCAGGGAACAAAGGTGGGGGGCGCAGGAGAACCTTACAGGGAGCGCTGGGGTCTGAGGTTCTTCCACAGGAAGTAGACCCTCTCACTTTTGTGCCCCGTTTTTACCCCTATTTACCCCCAAAGCTATTGGCTCCTCCTTCTTGCCTCCACTCTGTTCAGGATTTCACCTGATTCCCTCTCAGCCCCCTCCCCAGGGCTCACTGGGGCTGGGCTTCGGGAAATTCAGGACCATCCTCCTTCCCATCAGCGGGAAACTGAGGCTGGGGCAGGGGAGGAAAGAATGGAGGTCAACCAGTGAGAGTCTGCACCGTATTCAACATTGGGCTTTTTCCGATTTCTTGCTTCCTCTTTCCATGCAACCCCTCTTCCCTCATAAGCCTCCTTGCCAGGGGTCTCTGGGGTTTTCCTTCTATTTTCAGATACTATCACTTTGCCCCCTCTTTCTCTTCGGCTCAAACTCTCCTCCTTCCCCCTAGTTCCCCATCTTTCCATTTCTGGATGCTTCTGATGTCAGTGGTTTCCCCGCCTTTGGGTTCCCTAGCCCCCCCTCCCCTTCAGTCCCAGCTTCCTTTCTCCCATCTTTCCAGATCCCTAGTGAGCTAGAGGGGGATCATGCAGGCTTGGGGGGCATGGGGCTGAGCACCAGGACCCCTGGGCCCAGGAGCGGGAGCATTGAGGAGGGACTGTATTAGCATACACATCCCAGTTTACCGTGAACCCTCAAGAAGAAACAAGTGATGCATCTGCCATCAGTAGCCCTAGAGAGATTCTTGGACGTGAAGATAGGGATTGAATAGTACTGAGCAGAGGATATCAGAAGGGACCTGGGAACGCCGGAGGGAGGAGCCAGGGCTGAAAAGGGGTAGGAGACCAGAGGTCAGAATACCGTCTTTTCTGAAGGTCTGGAAAGCAGGGCTCTTACCCGTGTGGGCTGTATGATAGGCCATCTGACTGAAGGCAGGAGAATGTTCTGAATGACCCCATGACTTAGTAATTGGTCATTTTTCTATACCTTCAAGAGAAGGGGGCACAGGAAGTCAGCTAAGCCCTACCCCCCCCATGTCGTTTCTCCCTTGCAGTTTGTCCCGGTGGCTGAGCCTCACCCCCACACTGCTTGGGGTGCCCGGAAGATCCCTGGCTGGTCAAGAGCCAGAGGAAGAGGAAAACTGGAAGTCCCGGCATGGGGACCAGAGCTCAGCCAGCCTCATAGTTGGGAAAGCAGTCAGCTTGCCCCTACCCCTCCCCATCAATTACAAGGATACTTCAGGAAGGGCCCCACCCAATATGGAGGCTGAGGACCACCTCCGCTGACCTTCAGTCTCCTCCCCTGCCCTCCACACCTGACCTTAGCTGGGTCGGTCATGCAATGCTGAGCAGGTGGGTGGGCCTGGCGGTGGCCTGCTTCACTATAGGGCAAGGATTGTACACATCATGGGTGTGTGTGTGAGCGGGGCTCCTGGGTGAGACCCAGCCCCCACCCCCAGCAGTTCAAGGGGGGGTGGGGGGGACCGAGGATAGGATGGCTCGGGGCGGGGCGGGGGCAGAGGAGGCCTCCCTGCGCTCCAACGCATTGTCCTGGCTGGCCTGCGGGCTCCTGGCTCTGCTGGCCAATGCCTGGATCATCCTCAGCATCTCAGCCAAGCAGCAAAAGCACAAGCCGCTGGAGTTACTGCTCTGCTTCCTGGCGGGCACGCACATACTCATGGCGGCTGTGCCCCTCACCACCTTCGCCGTGGTGCAGCTCCGGCGCCAGGCTTCCTCTGACTACGACTGGAACGAGAGCATCTGCAAGGTCTTTGTGTCCACCTACTACACGCTGGCCCTGGCCACCTGCTTCACAGTCGCCTCACTCTCCTACCATCGCATGTGGATGGTGCGCTGGCCCGTCAACTACCGCCTCAGCAACGCCAAGAAGCAGGCGCTGCATGCCGTCATGGGCATCTGGATGGTCAGCTTCATCCTCTCCACGCTGCCCTCCATTGGCTGGCACAACAATGGCGAGCGCTACTACGCCCGTGGCTGCCAGTTCATAGTCTCCAAGATTGGCCTGGGCTTTGGCGTCTGCTTCAGCCTCCTGCTCCTTGGGGGCATTGTCATGGGGCTCGTCTGTGTGGCCATCACCTTCTACCAGACGTTGTGGGCCCGGCCCCGGAGGGCTCGGCTGGCCCGGAGAGCGGGGGTTGGGGGTGGGACCAAGGGGGGCGGGCCAGGAGGTTTGGGTACCCGGCCAGCCTTTGAGGTGCCAGCCATCGTGGTGGAGGATGCCAGAGGGAAGCGGCGGTCCTCGCTGGACGGCTCTGAGTCGGCCAAGACATCCCTGCAGGTCACCAACTTGGTCAGCGCCATCGTCTTTCTCTATGACTCACTCACAGGGGTGCCCATCTTGGTGAGATTGGGATCCCCCATCTGCTCTCCCCACTTTCCAGGTCTCAGCATGATCACCTGAACCCCAAGTCCCATCAGCCATACAGCAGCTCCGCCGTCTACCCTCCTCTCTTCTGCCCACCCCCACTACATTTGCGAGCCCCCCACCTCTATCATCCATCTCCTGGTTCCCGTCACCCCAGCCTCGTCATCTGTTTTGCCAGTTTCTGCTACACAACCTCGTCCTATCCACCTACCCTCCAGCTCCACCATGTCTCCTGTGTCTCCACGCTTCAGCCCCTGGACCTCCATTCTCCATTCCCTAACACTGTCCGGTTGCCCCAGGCTCTCTCTGCACTCGGGGTGGAAACCCCAGAGAGCTCGCCCCACCCCCCAGCTTTTTGCATCCCCATGTAGTCCCTATTCCTGAATTCCTCTCTGTGTTCAAGTTTTCTTTACTTCTTTCCCCCAACCCCCTGGGGCTTCATATTCAGTACCTGGCCCTGATCTTCCTCTGAATCAGTCCCATCCCCTCTGTTCATCCCATCTCCGCCTCCCGCTTTGCCTCCGTCACGATCCTCTGTGAACTGGGCCATCCCTTCCTTCTTGTGCATTCGCTGCACTAGGATCTGGGATCCAGTGGGACCTCTGGGCGCTGGGTGGTGACCCCGCGCCATTCCTCGTCCTCCCGCTAGGTGGTGAGCTTCTTCTCCCTGAAGTCGGACTCGGCTCCGCCGTGGATGGTGCTGGCAGTGCTGTGGTGCTCCATGGCGCAGACGCTGCTGCTGCCGTCCTTCATCTGGTCCTGCGAGCGCTACCGCGCCGACGTGCGCACTGTGTGGGAGCAGTGCGTGGCCATCATGTCCGAGGAGGATGGTGACGACGGTCAGAGGAGGGACTGGGCTTTGGCTTCCCCGGGCTTCGACTCCCTTCTCTGCCCCTTTCTACCAGCCCTTCTCAGTGTGGGCATGGGCTGCCCTTGGGCGCCCCCTGCTGGACAGAACGCGCGCCGCCCTTGGGCTGACTCCAGGCTCCCTTTTCCCTAATCACGCACCCTGATGTACGCCCTTTGCTTCCTTCTGCGTTGGAGGCTCCCTCCGCTGGGCGTCGGTGCCCCCTGACGCCCACGCTACCCAGCTTTGCCTCCGCTCTCCAGGCAGAGTGCCTGAGAAACAGGCCAAAGTCCTAATACAAGCATAAAGGACGGCTGTGGAAGCAAGGGGAGGTTAAGGTCCCTGAGAAAGCCCCCCAGCTGCAGGAAGTTATTGGGACTGGGCTAGCAATTCTTTCAATAAATATGTCTATATGTATAAAGCACTAGGGACCAAACGCTGAATGCAACAGATGTTAGACGCTCCTGCTTTTCCTCTTGGAGCTTGCAGACTAGTGTGAACAGAAGGATTTTCCGGGGCGCTTAAAAAGGGGGCAGGAACTATTAGGGGGAGGAGGAGAGGGAAGTGGGTATTCCCTGCCTGTAACCACCCCGCCCCCTTTTCTCTCCTAGATGGAGCCTGTGATGACTATGCAGATGGCCGAGTGTGCAAAGTTCGTTTTGATGCTAATGGTGCCACAGGACCAGGGGCCAGGGACCCCACCCAGGTGAAGCTGCTGCCTGGAAGGCACATGCTGTTTCCCCCTCTTGAGAGGGTCCACTACTTACAGGTATGGGAGTAGGGAGTGGACCTCCCTTTCTGGGTTCTGGGTATCCCCTGACTACTTGTCTCCAGGCTCCGTTAGCCATCCTGACTCCCCACTCCCTAGCCCCGGCCTGCAGGGCACCTAAGGGGTAGGTGAAAAAAGGCACCGCAAGTGAGGCTCCCTTCAGACCTTTAAGAACCAGGTTCGTCCGGGGGCGCCTGGGTGGCTTCGTCGGTTAAGCGCCCGACTTTCGCTCGGGTCATGATCTCTAGGTTCGTGGGTTCGAGCCCCGCGTCGGGCTCTGTGCTGACTGCCAGCTCAGAGCCTGGAGCCTGTTTCAGTCTGTGACTCCCCCTCTCTCTGACCCTCCCCTGCTCACGCTGTCTCTCTCTCTCCTAGAAATAAATAAAATATTAAAAAAAAAAAAAGAACCAGGTTTGTCCATCAGAGGATTTTTTTTTTTTTTTGGCTAATTTATTTTTCAGAGAGAGGAGGGGAGGGGCAGAGAGACAGGGAGAGAGAGAATCCCAAAATCCCAAGCAGGCTCCACGCTGTCAGCACAGAGCCTGATTTGGGGCTCCAACTCACAGACGGGGAGATCATGACCTGAGCTGAGATCAAGAGTCTAAGGCTTAACTGGCTGAGCCACCGAGGTGCCCCCAGGGGATGTTGTGCCAAAGTTTAAGGGGGTGAAGCCATCTTGCAGGGTCCCCATTTTGGTTCCTGCCTTTACCCCCTTTGTTCTGATAGCACCTCTGGGTCTACTTGCTCCTCTCCCCAGGTCCCTCTGTCCCGGCGGCTGTCCCACGATGAGACCAACATCTTCTCTACTCCTCGGGCACCAGGCTCCATCCTACATAAGTGGTCATCCTCCGATGACATCCGGGTCCTCCCGGCCCAGAGCCAAGCCCTGGGGGGCCCTCCTGAGTACCTGGGAGGAAGACAAAGGCTGGAGGATGAAGAGGATGAGGAGGAAGCTGAAGGTGGGGGGCTGGCCAGCCTTCGCCAGTTCCTGGAGGGAGGGATGTTGGGGTCAGGTGGGGGCTCCCCCCGGGGTCCTGGCTTCTTCCGGGAAGAGATCACCACCTTCATTGATGAGACTCCTCTGCCTTCTCCGACTGCTTCACCGGGGCCCTCTCCTCGCCGGCCCAGGCCCCTGGGCCTCTCACCCCGGAGGCTCTCCCTTGGGTCCCCTGACAGCAGAGCCGCTGGACTTCCTTTGGGCTTAAGTGCAGGGAGACGCTGCTCCCTGACAGGGGGTGAGGGGAGTGTGAGACCTTGGGGCGGATCCTGGGGCCCAGGTAACCCCATTTTCCCCCAGCTGACGCTGTGAGCCTGCAGGACTCAGGTGAGGGGCCCTGAGTGAGTAACACCTGCTCTGGCCCAGCCTGGGGCAGCTGCCTCCAGACTCCGGGGAGATGGGCGCTGGATCTGGGGCCCGGAGCCCCTGCTGTCTCCCATCTCAATGACCAGATGTCCTACTCACCTTCCATCATCCTTAGCAAATTGTATTAAAGCCTGAAGTGTTCCCATGGAAACCCTGGTGTCCATTGTTCCTGAGTGGTAAAGGGTGTGGCTGGAGGCTTAGGGTGGACTGGCTCCTAGGACAGAATAGAGGAGGGGCCGTGCGCAGACGCACAGAAACACACCCGGAGAAGGACAAACTCACACATGAAGACGTACACAGGGACGGGCTTATAAGGGCATCTTGTGCTGGGCATGGGCACCGGGGGACCCTTGAGTGCGCTGGTTTGGGGCGTGAAGGATCTTGGGTCAGACTGGGGGAAGTGGGTTCCGTCTGCCATGCTCCAACTTTTCTCCTCCCCCCAGGCCTACCTGAGGCCGCACTTTCTGGGCCTGACTTGGTATCGCAGGCCTGCATCCCATGTTGCATTCTAAAGGTCTTTTTCCCAAAGTGTGTGTGGGTAGGTGTGTGGGGGGCATCCATATTCCGCGTCCTGGACTCGAGGCGTGGGGGGCCGGGGGGGGGCACAGGGTGGAGGGAAACACAGCTGCAGTAGCTACGCTCACTCCATGGGCCTCGGGGTTGGAGTTAAGGGACCTCAGACGCTCGCCGTGCTGTTTTCCAAAGCACTGGTCCCGCTCCAGTTCCAGTCCTTTGCCATCTGCTCTTTTCGGCCCGCCTGCTTCTCGTCATCCCACACGGCTCTTCGTTTCAAAGGCTGCTTTCTCCACTTCATGCCAGGCTTCCTGACTTCTCTGGCTCTCATACTGGCCAATATGGGTTGAGTCTGGGCCCCATCAGCACTGCTTGGCCCCGCTCATTCCTTCTCTCTTCCTCTCCTCCCTCCTCTCCATCTCTCCTTCCTTTCCCCTCCCTCTCCCATCCCCCCATCCCCTCTCGCCCTCTGGGCTCCCGCATTCCGCTTCGGCAGCCGGCCGGCGCCTCCGGCACCATGCTCCGGCTCCTCCGGCTGCTGCTGCTGCTGCTGCCTCCGCCAGGGTCCCCCGAGCCCCTAGGCCTGGCTCGGCTGTCCCCCGGTGCGCCCCCCCAGGCCCCCGACTTGCTCTACGCCGACGGGCTGCGCGCCTACGCGGCCGGGGCTTGGGCGCCGGCCGTGGCGCTGCTGCGGGAGGCGCTGCGGAGCCAGGCGGCCCTGGGCCGCGCGCGGCGGGACTGCGGGGCGCGCTGTGCGGCCGAACCGGGGGCCGCGCTCCCCGCCGGGCTGCTCGACGCCCCGGACTCCGGGCCCGGCCCGGCGCAGGGCGCCTGGGAGCGGCTGCTGCTCCGCGAGGCGCTCCGCCGGGCCGAGTGCCTGACCCAGTGCGGGGCGCAGAGGCTGGGCCCCGGGGGCGCGGCGCGGCTCCGCGTGGGGAGCGCGCTCCGGGACGCCTTCCGCCGCCGGGAGCCCTACAACTACCTGCAGAGGGCCTACTACCAGGTGCGGGAGCCGCCCGGGCCCGTTCCGGGGTTCTGCCCCCACCCGCGCTGCGCTGCTGCTCGGAGTTCTCGAGGAGAGGGCGGAAGGCCGGCGCCCGGGACTCCGGGTGGGGCTGGGGGGAGGGCGGTCAGCGGACCTCTCCTTTTGAGTGGGTCCCACCAAAACCACGTCGAGTACCCATCGAGGTCGCCGAAGGGCAGCCTAAGGGAGAGTGGGAGCGAAGTTGGAGCGGGGCTGCGTGGGTTCCTGAGACAGGGTGGAAGTAGATCGGAGATGGAGGGAAGGGGCCTGAAATGTTAGGTCTTCCTGAGCCCTACGTGGGGTGATAGCAGCCTCTTCCTCGGAGGGGATGGGGAACCCCACCGATGGGCAAAAAGTATGGGAGGGGGGTGTTGAGTGTGAGCCTTTGCCGGGCCGGGGCAAAGCTGAGCAGCGGGGAGGCCGAGCGTCTGGGGTCGGGCTGCAGCTGCTAGTTCAGTAGCTGTTGCCTACGTGGCCGGGGGGGGGGGGGGGGGGGGGGGGGGGGGGGGGCTGGTCCCACACACCTCAGCTCAGGGTCCTAGAGACCTGCGGGTTTTGCTGACCGCTCAGGTCTCCCCCGCTTCCCTACCGCACTTAGCCATCACTTGCACCTTATCTCCCAAAGCGAGGTCCTGAGGTCCCTCTGCCCATATCGCACCCACTCCAAAGTCTTCAAACCCCTCTTAGCAGCCAGGCTCCTGAACGTCCCTAGCACGCTGGTTTCTAGGGGATCTGGAGGTTGAGACACAGGCAGTTCTGAGTGCGAGGCCTTCCAGAAGATGCTGGTGTGCATGCAGAATGGGAAGGCCAGAGAGTGGGCAGAGAGAGGTCTGACGTCGCTGCCTGAGGGCACTGACTCCGTCCTTCCCACTCCTCAGCTGAAGAAGTTGGACCTGGCAGCAGCGGCTGCACACACCTTCTTTGTAGCAAACCCAACACACCTCCAGATGAGGGAGGACATGGCTAAGTACAGACGTATGTCTAGGGTGCGGCCCCAGAGCTTCCGCGACCTGGAGACTCCGCCACACTGGGTGAGACCCTTTGCCTGGCTGGGTCCTTGGGGCTCACTGGGCTCTGATCTGTGTAGCTCAGGCGTCAGGAGATCCGGGTACTGTCCTTAGTAACCCTGGATGGAGAGTCCCTCTCTGGGACTTCGTTTTCTTCCTGAGGACCACTGAAGTCCTATGTCCTACCATTCTGATCCTAGGCCCACCCTACATTTCCCCGAGGTGCAGTGGGATCTGGAGCCCATGCCCCAGATGAGACCAACGCCCCTCCCCTTCTTTGCACCTCCCAATCTTGTTTGGCACCCTCCCCCCAGGATCTCAGGTGACTGCCCACCCCCCTCCCCAACAGGCAGCCTATGACGACGGCCTGGAGCTGCTGGGGCATCAGGAGGCTGGACTGGCGCTGCCCCGGCTAGAGGAGGCCCTGCAGGAGACCCTGGCCCAGATGGAGAGCTGTCGGGCTGGCTGTGAGGGGCCGGAGGAGCAGCAGAGGGAGGAAGAGGAGGAGGAAGGGACTGGAGGCCAGGGGGGCCTCTATGAGACCATTGCGGGTAAGGAGCCGGGGGGTTCAGGGGGCCGGGGAGAGAAGCATCGCAAGCTGAGTGGTTCACCTGTGTCCTCCGCAGGGCACTGGATTCGGGTCCTACAGTGCCGGCAGCGCTGTGTCGGGGACACAGCCACTCGTCCTGGCCGCAGCTTCCCTGTTGCTGACTTCCTTCCCAGCCAGCTGAGGCGGCTGCACGAGGCCCATGCTCAGGGTCAGTTGGGGAAGGGTGAGCGCCGGAGGGGGGGGTGGGGCGGTGACTGGCGCTGCAAACAGGGGAAGTGATGGTTTGCCTCTGATGGCACCCTGAGCCCCATCTCTGCATCCTTCCCGTCTGTCTCTGGATCTGTAGTTGGTCAGGGCTCGGTGGGCACCATCACCGCAGGACGACTCTCATTTGCTCTCCTTTGGCACCTTTGGACAGCTCGGGAGATGGGTCACAGGGCCCCTCCCGCCTGCCCTTGCTGCTTCCCACCTTCCTCTACTCTCTCCTCTCTTCCCTGCCTTTGAACTCTGCCTGCACAGCTCAGGTAGGTTTGAGTCAGCTTCGGAAAGAAGCAATGGCTGAGCGTGTCTGTCAGGTGGGATGGGGGCTTTGGACTTGTTTGGCATTGGGAGGCCGCCTTCCCTGGCTCTCTCTGCCTCTGTCTCCCTGTCTTCTCTGCCTCTGCCCAGGGACCCCTGCCCATCTCAGTCTCTGGGCCCCGCCCCCACCCTGTTGCTCTGTCTCCAGTGGGGAATCTGTCCCAGGCTCTGGAAAACGTCCTGAGTGTTCTGCTCTTCTACCCGGAGGATGAGGCTGCCCGGAAGGCTCTGAACCAGTACCAGGCCCAGCTGGGAGAGCCGAGACCCGGCCTTGGGCCCAGAGAGGTAACGCCCTGCTCCACCGGAAATCAAGTATACCCGCAGAGCCACCCGGACTCTCCCTCCCCGTCTCGTCCGCCACGGGCAACCTCAGATCCAGCACTGGACTTGTCTCCACTCCCCGCTCCCCACTTCAGACCCTACTTCTGAGTCCAGGGCCAGCCCATCCCTCTTCCCTGGACTTGACTGCTGCTTGCCCCTGCTTAACGCGTCCTGTGCGCATGTGCACACTCCTCCCCCCTCCTCCAGCCCTAACTTCCCTGCCCCCTCTCCGTGTCTCCCCCTCTTCTCTCTGCTGCCCACCCTGCCGCAGGACATCCAGCGCTTCATCCTTCGATCCCTGGGGGAGAAGAGACAGCTCTACTATGCCATGGAGCACCTGGGGACCAGCTTCAAGGATCCTGTGAGTATCTCCCCTTCTCTCCATCCTACCCCTCGGTGCTCCCACAGGAGAAAGAGAACAGCGATGCCCTCCATTTGTGTGTCGCTTCAGTTCGCAACAAGGCTTCCCATTTCCCCCACCCTCCCTGGGAGGCTTGGAGAAGAATCTGCAGCCCCAGTTTCTCAGGGACAGAATCAGGTGCCGGTGGGAGAGGACAGCTTTCGGGTCGTGCCGGCCTCGGTGTTGATCTCTTCTCTGCCATAAACAGGCTCTGAACCTTTGCTTGCCTCTGCCTCAAATTCCTTACCTGTAAAATGGGAACATCACACCTGTCTCATAGGGCTATTGAAGCCCTAGCACTTGCTAGAAATTAGAGATAGTTCTGTTGCTGCATCTTCATTACTGTTCTTTCTGTTGGAGTCGTAAGAGGGAACCAAAGGGCTAGTTCATTGCTAGGACGAGAGCATAAAGGTTTTCTCAACCCGATAATTTTTTGCAGGGGAGAAGGGGGCTTTCCTAGGCATTATAGAATGTTTGGCAGCCTCCCAGGCCTCTACCCAATAGATGTCAATAGCACTCTCTGAGTCATGACCGTCAAAAATGTTTCCAGACATTGCCAGATGTCCCCCATGGGGCAACATCACCCTGTTTGAGAAACGCTGGTTCAAAGCATAGACTCTAAAGCTAGTTTAGTATGTATGCATGTGTGTATGCATGTGTGTGTCTCTGTATGTATGTGTGTATGTGTATGTGTGTTTGTATGTGTGTATGTATGTGTATGTGTATGTGTGTGTATAGATGTATGTGTGCATGTATGTGTGTGTGTGTGTATTTTAAGTAGGCTCCACACCCAACATGGGGTTGGATCTCAGGACCCCAAGATCAAGAGTCACATGCTCCACCCACTGAGCCACTAGGTGCCCCTCTAAAGCTAGTTTGAATTTCAACTCTGTCGCTAACTAGCTTTTTAACCTGGGCATCTTACTTTACCTCTCTGTGTCTTAGAATCTTTTTCTTTTTAAGTTTTATTATTTATTTTGAGAGAGAGAGAGAGAGAGCGCGTGAGCAGGGGAGGGGCAGAGAGAGAATCCCAAACAGGCTCCACACTGTCAGTGCAGAGCCCGATGGGGGGCTGGAACTCACAAACGGTGAGATCAAACCTGAGCCGAAATCAGGAGTTGGGACGCTTAACCGACTGAGCCACCCAGGTGCCCCTTAGAGTCTTCAATTGCAAAGTGGGCACATTAAGACAAGGTATTTCATAAGACTGTTGTAGACAATAAGTGACAAAGTTTCACGTAGTCCACTTTCGTGTAGAAAGTTGTTAGAACAGCACCTGACAGATAGCTCTAGCAATTGTTGTTACAGAGTTTGGCCCAGCACCCCGGGCTCCCAACAATGAGTCCAGGGCTTTTCCCACCTCTGCCTTCCTGTCTGAGAGCGGGAGGACCTTAATGTGGTAGTTCAGAGTCAAATGTCAGGGCTTTGGGCGGGACGTGGCGGCTGACCGTGCTTTTCCTGACTGTCCCAGGATTCCTGGACCCCAGCAGCTGTCATCCCAGAGGCACTTAGAGAAAAGCTCAGGTAGGAGATGCCCTGTGGTGGCAGGGGCCTGGCCCGAGCCAGACGGTGAGGGAGGGGTCCTGGGAGGTCTGAGAAAGATGGGTCTGGACTGGCCTGTGCATCCACTGAGTATGTCTCTCACTCCTGAGAGAGGATCAAGAGAAGAGGCCTTGGGACCATGAGCCGCCACAGCCAAAGCCCTTGACCCACTGGAAGGGTAGGTTCCCAGGAGGAGCCTCGAGGGTCTGGGGGCCGCCAGCTACTGCCGGGCCTGCCCTCAAAGGCGGCGCTCAACGCCCTCTGCCCCGTTCCTTCCCCGGCAGATGTCCTGCTCCTGGAGGGAGTAACCCTGACCCAGGATGCGAGACAGCTAAACGGGTCCGAACGGGCCGTGTTGGATGGGCTGCTCACCCCCGCCGAGTGTGGGCTGCTGCTGCAGCTGGCCAAGGTAAGAAGACCAATGCGTAGGCGGCACCATTGGCTGGTAGGGACCTCAGCACAGCCCACGCAGCCTGGGCCGGGTTGCCCGTGCTTGCCACCGCCCTGCTGCTGGGGACAAGTTCCCTTCCTCTTCTCCTAGCTGGCGCGGGGGGGCTGGACACTCTTTACAAAGGAATTTTGCTAGAAATCGATAGGAAGGACAAAACAAAAACCACGAAGGGATAAAAAAGGGTGAGTGTGCAGGTGAGGATTCCTGGATTAGCCGAGAATTTAGTTGTCGGCTTGGCCGATAGCTTAGCTGACACACAGGCATCTTCTCCTATCCATTGTATCCCCGCCAGGCTGGGTTGAATGATCCATATTCACCAGGTTGAGTCTTCATGTGCCTTCCACACACACTCACTGAGTATCTGCTGTGTGCTCAGAACTACTGGGTTCCAGAGGGAGGTAGATGAACACAGAGAGCTCACTGTATAGAGAAGGAAGCAGACACAGAGACACATAATTAGAGCGAGGGGCAAGTTTGTTACGGGTACCCATCCAAATAGAAGTGCCGAAGTGCAAAGTCACGGAAGGCTTTTAAGCTCAGTCTTAAGGATGAGTTAACAAGGCAGAGAAGGGGAGGAAAGCCAGACGGGAAGGGGAAGGACAGGAGGCATTCTGGCAGACGGAGCAGCTCCAACGATGATTACCTGGGTGAGCTCGTGCAGTGTGGTTTAATGTCTCTGAGCCTAGTTTCTTCATCTGTAAAATAGGGCTAAAGGCAGTTCTTTTAGGGCTGTCGTGAGGTAGTGCATGGTAAAGATGTTAGAAGAATATAAAAAGTGCTTAGGGTTAGCTGTCGCTGTTATCATCGCGCTACTATCCGGAAGAGGTACAGGGGAGAGAACCCAAAGGTGGAGGCAGGGAAGAGATGGTGAAGGGCTCCTGTACCCTACTGGGGAGTTAGTAGATGGTGGACAGCTTACTGGAGAATTTAAGGAGGGGTTCACTTTGACATTCCCATCCCTCAGCAGGAGCGGGGTCCACAGAATCGGCAGATGCCCCTAGCGGCACTGTGGAGAAGGCAGTGGGAGAAGAATGTAAGGGGAGAGGCTTCTGGGGCGATGCCAGAGTGCCACTGGCTTAGGTTAGATCTTTGTTTCAAGGAAATAAATAGAGGGGACAGATGAGAAAACATTTAGAAAATCGAAGATCGAGAAGTTCAGAACTAAAAGAGAGTGAGGGATAACTCCCACAAGTATCGGACTTTCTGGTCCTTCATCACACTAAATTCATTCTGGCCTCAGGACCTTTGCACTTACTGTTTCTGCAGCCTGGAACATTTTCTCTCTCTCACATATTGAAGTGGCTCCTTCATATCATTTGCTTTCAATTTGGATGTCACCTCATCAATTAGCTGTCCCGTAACCACTGCCTGGGCACTCTCAAGGTTGTAACCCCATTTTAATTTTCTTTTCTTTTCTTTTCAAAAAAATTGTTTTAAATGTTTATTTTATTTTTGAGGGAGAGAGAGACAGAGCATGAATGGAGGAGGGGCAGAGAGAAGGAGACACAGAATCTGAAGCAGGCCCCAGGCTCTGAGCTGTCAGCACAGAGCCCAACACGGAGCTTGAACTCACAAACTATGAGCTCAGGACCTGAGCCAAAGTCGGACGCTTAACTCACTGAGCCACCCAGGCGCCCTCATTTTTTCTTTATACCACTTGTCAGCATCTGAACTTACCTGGTTTGTTTGTTCGTTTGTCATCTCAACATATGAACTGCATGAGAGCAGGGACCCTTTCTTTTTTCTTTTTCTTTTTTTTTTTAATTTTTAATGTTTATTTTTGAGAGAGAGACAAAGTACAAGCAGGGGAAGGGTAGAGAGAGATGGAGATGCAGAATCCAAGCAGGATCCAGACTCTGAGCTGTCAGCACAGAGTCCGACGTGGGGCTCGAACCCACCGACTCACAAGCTGTGAGATTGTGACCTGAGCCAAAGTCAGTTGCCCAACCAACTGAGCCACTCAGGCGCCCCAAGCAGGGACCCTTTCGTGTTCACAGATATGTCGTCAGTGCCTAGAACAGGGCCTGACATATAGAAAGCGCTCAGGACAAATTTGTTGAGTGAGTAAATACAAGAGTAAGAAGGTTAGATGGCCTGGGTGATGCGGTCTCAGAGATGAAGTTTATATACAGGGCTACGGTTTTTTTGTTTCAAAAAGCAACCAAAAGAATAGGTGTCCAGAAAGGGACATCCAAATATCAGGAGACACCCAGGTAATGAGACTCGCATAGGTGTTTGGGTGATTGGGACTCAGCATCAAGGGGCCTCACGTTCTCCACGAGTGTGTCGGGCAGGAAGAGGTCAGAGAGAGGCGCCCGGGTGGATGCTGTCTCCCCACCTTGCGCTGGTTGGGACGTCGCCTGACTATCAAACTTCCTGCTAGGGCCTTGTCTCTGCAGAGACTCCTATACTCTGGGCTCATCATCAGGAATGAATGCTCCAGCTCTTCCTTCCCCAGTGGCCCTGGGGCTCTCAGAGGTCCCTTCCCCACGGTAGGGAGCTCTCTAGAGTCCCAGGCATAGAACCCCCGGTGAGTGGGATTCCCGATCTTTACCAGAGAGTGACAAAATACATACACGAAGACAGTCATTCTGTGAAAAGGGCAGCAGCTCAGGGAAGGGGGCCGCCAGAGAATGCTGGGGGCGTCTAGCTTCTTCCAGGAAGCAGGAGGGTTGGAAGAAGGTCTTGTAGCCCTGTGGGCAGTGCGGGGGGAGATAGCCTGGGACCCAGAGAGTGTGACTCCACAGCCAGCTCTGTCCCTCCACAGGATGCCGCTGAGGCTGGAGCCAGGTCTGGCTACCGCGGCCGCCGCTCCCCTCACACCCCCCACGAACGCTTCGAGGGGCTCACGGTGCTCAAGGCTGCGCAGGTGAGAGGAGGCCCCCGTGGCCTGGTCTGAAGCCCAGAACCGGAGAAGAGGGTACGCAGGTGGCTGGGGACCTGGGCCTGCGCCTCTCCTGTGGAGGGGCTCTCTGGGGACCGAGGGCACCAGAGTCCTCTGCCTGGAGCTGGGGGTGGGGGGAGGGGTTCTGAGATGCAGGGAGCTGGGTTATGGCCCCAGAGCCAATGGAAGGGGCAGTTTGGGCTGATGGACAGAGCTGGTGGCTGAGATTCCAAACCTGTGGGTGGAGAGCAGTGGACGTAGGGCAGGGGCTGGGGCTGGGCTGTCCCTCTATGCCCCCTCCTGTCCCGCCCTTCCTTTCTCCGCTGGCAGCTGGCCCGGGCCGGGGCCGTGGGCAGCCAGGGGGCTAAGTTGCTTCTGGAGGTGAGCGAGCGCGTACGGACCCTGACACAGGCCTACTTCTCCCCGGAGCGGCCCCTGCATCTTTCCTTCACCCACCTGGTGTGCCGGAGTGCCATAGAAGGTAATCACTAGGGACCCCCACCGCTCCTGCGCAGCCTCGATGCCCTGCTGGGCACCGCACGCCCTCGGCACCCCCAAACTCAGTGGGTTTTCTGACATGCCTCCCCAGGTGAGGGCCTGGCCGCTTGGCCCACTCATGAACCCCCCAAGCTGCAGGGTGAGCGTGGGTGGCAGTGGTTGGTGTTCACCTCTGTGTTGCTTCCCAGGAGAGCAAGAGCAGCGCATGGACCTGAGTCACCCGGTGCATGCAGACAATTGCGTGCTGGACCCTGACACCGGGGAGTGCTGGAGGGAGCCCCCAGCCTACACCTATCGTGACTACAGGTGGGCGCCCCACCCCCCCAGGAGTCGGGCAGGAGGGCCTGGGGTGGGGCCTCACTGCCTGGTGTCTTCCTCCCTTTCCAGTGGGCTCCTCTACCTCAATGACGACTTCCATGGTGGAGACCTGTTCTTCACAGAGCCCAACGCCCTCACAGTCACAGTAAGCTGTGGGCTCAGGATTCAAAACAGAAGTTCAAAACGGAAGGTTCCCAGAGGCAAATGCAGGGAAATGGTCCCTGGGGCCACCTTAACCCTTTCCTTGCCTGTCCTCCCCAGCCCTCTGCACCACCTGTCTGTGTTCAGGGGCTCTCTTAGAGGTTGATTACCCCTCCCCAGGAGATCTCTGGTGGTCCCTCCACACCCTGCCTTCAGTGTTTGCCTCACCCCTTCAGAGAGGGTGCATAAAGCACAGGACCCCAGGTCCCTATTCCACGTAGAAACCAGGGGCTAGAATTGGGCAGAAGGAGACGGGCAGTGATTTTTCATCATTTATTGCTCCGTTTTACCCGCTTACCTCCTTCTCCGCTAATACCAGCTACTGATAACCCAAGACCTCCTTGAGGTGGAAGAATGTCCCCAAGATCCTTATCCCCAGTACTCAGAGCCTGGTACTGTCTTCACACCCTCAGATTGTATCTGCCCTGGGTCCAAAGGATTGGGCGAGGGGATGGGGAGGGAGCCCCCCCCATGGAGGCCCCTCTTCTTTGGCTCCAACTCCTCTAGCCTCGGTCTGGCATTTGTGCCCCTCGGGTTAAGGCCGGTTTCTCATTTCCCCCAAGATCGTCCCTGAATTAAGGAACGGAAAGTGATGGGGAGGAGAGCTGAACAGTTTGTGCCCCTGCCCCCATCCTGCCCTAAGGAGTCAGGGCCACGTTCTGTGAGAGCGCCTGTCCCTGGAGCTGAACCTGCCCTCACCCCCCCAGGCTCAGGTTCGGCCTCGCTGTGGACGCCTTGTGGCCTTCAGCTCCGGGGGGGAGAATCCCCACGGTGTGTGGGCCGTGACGCGGGGACGGCGCTGCACCCTGGCGCTGTGGCACACGTGGGCACCTGAGCACAGGGAGCAGGTGAGGCCGAGCGGGGGTGGGAAGGGATGGCCCTCCTGCTGTGTGAAGGAGGAGGGGCAGGGGCTGAGATGCCCCCGGGAGGGTCCCCAGGGCAAGGTGACACAGGGGCTTGGGCCAGACTCTCCTTCCCACTCCGCAGGAGTGGACAGAAGCCAAAGAGCTACTGAAGGAGCCCGAGGAGGAAGAGGAGGAGGAGGAGGAGGAGGAAGAGGAAGAAATGCCCAGCAGAGACCCTTCCCCAGAACCCCCCAGCCGCAGGCTTCAGCGGGTCCAGGACAAAGCTGGGAAACCACCTCGGGCCCGCGAGGAGCTGTGAGGGACTGAGCCAGCTCCTTGGGGATGTGGCCATGTGACTTGTGAAGGGCCACCTCGATGCCAGGACCCACGAGAAGCCCCCATGTGATGAGAGCAGAGTAGTGAGCTCTCTGTCCCTGCGTCCCTACCCGCTTGGGGATCACGAGGGCCGTCCAGCCCTGGACTCAGAGGACAGTGCTCAGACGAGCCTAGAGCTCATGAGACCCAGCTAACGGACCTCCAGACTGAGGACAATGTGCCTCCCTGGAAAGAAACAGCAGGGATAGGACCTGACTGCTTTGGATGTGGAAGACGAGAGGGAGGAAAACCCCAATGGCCCGTCCCAGCCTGTAATAAAGAGCTGAAGACCCCTCAGCCAGGGCCCCGTGGAGTGTATCACAGTTTCTCTGGTGTCTGCAGAGGGAGTGGCTGTGGCTGGCCTGGGAGGAGACAGGTGTCTTTGGGCCTCCCAGAGGCGGGGCCTCTCAAAGCCTGTGATTTGTCAGGGAAATCTCTGCCACCTGCTCCCTGCATGCAAATGGACCCAAACCCCTGACAGCTGCTCCTTGGGCCTCCGACTCTAAGCCCCGTCTTCCCTGTCTGAGCTTGACCGAGACATAGGGCAGCCTGATCCCTCTGGTTCCGGCCTTCGCAGCCCCCGCAGGACTCCGTGAGTCATGGGGGCCAAGAGTGGGCCAGACCCCAGATGGGAACCGGGTTGGGGTTGCGCCCCACTTCCCACCCTTGGTCCATTCAAAGCAGGGAGAGGCCCATCCGTCTTCCTCTCTGGGTGCCCTGGGACCTCTCCCTGCCCCCCAGGATCAGGCCCAGGGGCAGCTGGTTGGGGTTTGTTGAGAAGAAGGATTATCCAGATCAGTCCCTACTAATCTCAGCTCCCGCCTGCACCCTCCCCGGATTCACCGTGACCCCCTTCCCTCGCTTCCCCACAACGCTGAATGAAGAGTCAAAATCTTGGGTATTGACAAGTGAGCCACTTCTCACCCTGCTATTCTGGCTCCTGGACTGGTTGCTAGGCAGGCCCTGACTGCCACGATCATGAGCGTTGGTGGGGGCCAGGGCCTGGGGGGACGGGGGTGGGGGGTGGGGACTGGAGCTGTGGTTGCTCCTGCTCCTCTGTCCCCTCCCCAACCCCAAACTTTAATCCTCACAGCTTTGCTCTAATCCCATGGGGCCTGATGCTCTTATCTCTGCCTCCAGGGACACTGGCTGGGGAAGCAGCCCTCAACCCCTCTTCCCTCCAGGGCTGGTGAGGGGCTGCTCCTCTCTATAGCCCCGCACCCCTGGTCCCCCCACTCACCACCCTAGGCTGGGCCCAGGTCTCTCTGGAAGCCACGCGCCTCCCTTCCTGCCCTCTCCCCACACCGTTGCCAGCTGATTTCATTTGCCTGACGTCGTCGTTGTCGTGGGCCCTACCCTTCTCTGTCAGTGCCCCCCCCCCGGCCCTCCCTCCAGAGTTGGGGCCAGGCCAGGCCAGCTCCTCTGGCAGCAGAGCCGGGGCAGGTGACGGGCTGGCGTCGCAGCTGAGGGAGTGAGGAGGCGCCTGGAAACCTGGGAGAGGCCCAGCCAGAGTCCACGTAAGAGGGAGCTGGCCCGGCTGGCTGTCCGGGGCTGGGGGCTGCAGGGAGAGCTCGGGTGGGCTGGGCCGGGCTCTGAGCCTGAAGCTGGGGTGGGGAGGGGGTGCAGGCCACCTGGTCGGTTCTCCATTTCTTGTAGCTGGGCTCTAGCCCCTGAGTCTGGTGCAGCGGGGCGGGCAGAAACATGGCCTGGCCCCCCCCGACACCTGCCCCACGTTCCTGACAGGAGCCGGAGCTACCCCTTGACCTGTCAGCTATGGGGGAGATGGAGCAGCTGCGGCAGGAAGCGGAGCAGCTCAAGAAGCAGATTGCTGTAACCCCCGAGCCCTTCCACGGGGGGACCCCAGAAAGCATGGAACCAGGGACATGAGGGAGCGTGCACGGGGGGAAGGGGGCTGGATTTACTCTTGAGGGGCACCTTAGAGACCCCTGAGCTGGAAGTGACCATTTGAGATGTCCCCCAGACCCTAGAGCCCGAAGCCCACCTGCCTCAGAGGCCCCTGCACCCACTACCCCCACCTTGCCTTTGTGTTCTCCTGATGTCTGCTTCCCTCCATCCCCAGGATGCCAGGAAAGCCTGTGCTGACATTACTCTGGCAGAGGTGAGACCTGTGCCCCCCTGAGGCAGGGCCGGAGGGGAGGGGAAGGGAGGGGAGGGGAGGGGAGGGGAGCTCCCTGACCAGCAACAGCCTGGTGCCCAAGCTTTAGTACAGCATGTCCTTGGAATGAGGAACGACATTGACTAATTCATTCAACACACATTTAGTGAGATCTGCTGTGGGCCAGGCACCTTATTGGAAGCTATGAATGCAGATGCTGTCCCTGTGCTCAACCATCACACAAGAATCATCACACCCTCTCACCGGGTGGCAAGGATCAAGAGAGGGACGGCACTTTGCAAATCACAAGCCCTTATAGACCAGTTACTTGGTTTTTTTTTTTTTTAATGTTTATTTATTTTTGAGAGAGAGAGAGACAGAACACGAACAAGGGAGGGGCAGAGAGAGAGGGAGACACAGAATCTGAAGCAGGCTCCAGGCTGTGTCAGCACAGATCCCGATGCGGGGCTTGAACTCACAAACCTTAAGATCATGACCTGAGCTGAAGTTGGAAGCTTAACCGACTGAGCCACCCAGGAGCCCCCAGTTAACTCGTTTTCTAATCATGTCCTTCACCAATTCTAAGGGCACATCTTTTCACCTTGTGGCATCTATGAGTTCAAGATGCATCCAAAAATAGATGATGCCTTTACATTTATAATTGGTGACATTTTTTTTCTTTCTCCGTGATGGTGCTTCTTGGAGTTGGGGGCATCTTCTGTTGGATTAAATATGTTAATAGGAAGAGGTAACGTTTACTGAAAACTTGCGGGGAGCCAAACACTGGGCTAAGTTGCGTAGATACATCATTGCATTTAATTTTCATGATAGCCTCATGAGTTGATGCTACAAACCTCATCTTGCAGCTGAGGAAACAGGCTCAGAGAGGGCAAGCAACTTGCCCAAGATACCAAAGCAAGTAAATGACAAGTCAAGGCCACTGACTCGAGCCCCAGCCTCAGTCAAGAAGCCGGATAGAGTTTAAGGGACGTAGGACCACAAATTTCAGGAGGTGCCGTCCAGGGTCATGGGGCTGCTCTGGATGCCCAGGGAAAGAGATAGCCCAGGGAAAGTTCCTGGTGTTGTGTGGGACTCAGCTCCCAGTGGCTTGGGACAGCGAATGTGTGCATCTTTTCCCAAGTCCGTGTTTGGTGACTTCACCCTGGCAGCTTGAAATTGGTCAAGGTGGGAGTGTTTACATGATGGAAATCAGTCTCGTCTCCTTCTCCCCCACCCTCCACTGGAGAGGTGCTTGTCAAACACTTAGCGACAGGCCGCTGGCCGTGCACGGTCTCTCCCACATCAGTCTAAGCCACTCCAAGGCAGAGACTTACTTCTCTTGAGGCCTGACCCAGAGCCTGGAACAGAACAGAAACCTGTACAGACCAGTGGCTGTGACACTGACATCTAGGTATGTACTCTACGCACCCTGATTTCTAGTGCCCCCTTTTCTGCAGCTGGTGTCTGGCCTCGAGGTCGTGGGAAGAGTCCAGATGCGGACGAGGCGGACATTAAGGGGACACCTGGCCAAGATCTACGCCATGCACTGGGCTACCGACTCCAAGTGAGACTTGGGAGGCACCCAGGGTTGGGGGGGAGGCAGGAAGGAGGCTTGGGTGACAATGGGGTACCCTCTTCCCAGGCTGCTGGTAAGTGCCTCGCAAGACGGGAAGCTGATCGTGTGGGACACCTATACCACCAATAAGGTACCCGCCCCTCCACCCCCCTGCCCTTCCTTAGAGGCATCTATTGTGCCCGCCCTCCCCTGCCCTCCCCACTCTGGAGCTCACTCAGATCCTGCGTCTGCCCGCCTGCCCACAGGTGCATGCCATCCCCCTGCGCTCCTCCTGGGTTATGACCTGTGCCTATGCCCCGTCAGGGAACTTTGTGGCATGTGGGGGGCTGGACAACATGTGCTCCATCTACAGCCTCAAATCCCGTGAGGGCACCGTCAAGGTCAGCCGGGAGCTGTCTGCTCACACAGGTGAGTAAGAGACCCTCTCTTCCAGTCCCTGCCCTGACACCAGGGGGGCTGCGGGCCTGCAGCTGGGGCGCTATCCTCACCACCCCCAGGTTATCTGTCTTGCTGCCGCTTCCTGGATGACAACAACATTGTGACCAGCTCCGGGGACACCACTTGGTGAGGACAGAACACTGTGGGTGCCGGGGCTTGGGGTGCGTCTCCGTCCTGGCCTTTCCGTGACCGTGTGACAGCCTCCTCCTCCTCCGGCAGTGCTCTGTGGGACATCGAGACTGGGCAGCAGAAGACCGTGTTTGTGGGACACACAGGGGACTGCATGAGTCTGGCTGTCTCCCCGGACTTCAAACTCTTCATTTCGGGGGCCTGTGACGCCAGCGCCAAGCTCTGGGACGTGCGGGAGGGGACCTGTCGGCAGACATTCACCGGCCACGAGTCGGACATCAACGCCATCTGCGTGAGCCCCGCTCTGCGCCCTGCTCCCGGGACCCCTCCCCACGCCCAGCACACGCGTCCTTCGTCCCAGCCCGGGCTCCCTACCCCTTTCTCCTTAACGTCCCTCTTGGGCACAAGTTTACCTTACAGAAAAGTCACAAGAGTAACCAAAAAAGGCTCCCATCTACCCTGCCCCCGTCTTCACACTAACACTTCACCACACTTGCTCTGTCATTGTCCCTCGGTAGAGGGAGGGAGGGATGCCTGGAAAGACAGATACACACACACCTACCTGTGGACACAGATACATTTTGTTAATTTCCCCCCTCAGTCTTAACAGAGTAAGTGGCAGATATCATGGTTCTTTACGGCTTAAATCCTTTCCAGTGCATGTTTCCTGAACACAAGGCCATTCTCTTCTACAGCCACCATATAATTCTTCAAATCAGATTTAACATAGACACGAGATAGTCTATAGTGTGTATTCAGATTTCACCAATTATTTAAAAAATGTCCTTAATAAAAAAAAAAGTCCTTAATAGCAATGGTTTATTTTATTATTTTATTTTATTATTTTATTTACTTATTTATTTATTTTATATTTTATTTCATTATTTAATTTAATTAATTTATTTTTATTTTATTTTATTTTATTTTATTATTTTATTATTATTTTTTAAATTTTTCTGTCCAGGGTCATGTATTGCATTTCCTTGCCATATCTTTCCAGTTATCTTTAAACTGGAACCTTTTTTCTACTTTTGTCTTTCGTGACATTGACATCTTTGAAGAGTACAAACCAATTTTCTCTAGTCCGTTTGAGTTTGTCTGACGTTTCATCGTGATGAGATTCAGGTCATGCATTTGTGCTTGGCCCCGTGCTTGCACGCTCTGACCCAGCCTAGAGCCTGGAGCCTGGGACAGCCGCCCGCCTTTCTAGCCGTGTGGCCCTAGGCCAGCTGCCCCCCGCCCCAGCCCTGGGCTGTTGGGCGACGGGGGAAATAATGCCCGCCTGGCGCCATAGTGAGGGGCCAGAGAAGGGTGTAGGGAAGCGGCCGGCCTGCAGCTGGCGCGGGATAAATGTCAGCGGTGAAGAGTGGGGAAGAGCCAGGCAGACAGGCCGAGGGAAAGCGCTTGCTCTGGCAGGAGCCAGGGAGAGCAGGACAGGGAGCGGGCTGCCCAGGCCCAAGTCCTGACCCCCTTGCCGCCTGTACCCTCAGTTCTTCCCCAACGGAGAGGCCATCTGCACAGGCTCAGACGACGCCTCCTGCCGCCTCTTTGACCTGCGGGCAGACCAGGAGCTGACCGCCTACTCCCACGAGAGCATCATCTGTGGCATCACATCCGTGGCCTTCTCCCTCAGCGGCCGCCTGCTCTTCGCGGGCTATGACGACTTCAACTGCAACGTCTGGGACTCCATGAAGGGGGAGCGTGTGGGTAAGGGCCCGCCCCCCTTACAGCCACCTCAGCAGGAAGGACCTTCCTACTCACTCCCTTCTTTGGGACCCTCTGACCACCGTTCCCTAATGACTGGATGACTGACTCTATCCCTAGATTCTAGTCCCCCTTGGTTCTCAGACAAGGGCCATCTTCTCTAGTGGCCCATCTCCACTGCCCAATGTGATAGTTGCTTCCTGCCCAAAGAGCTTCTGTGTCACCCAGACCTGTGGACCTTGAGTGTCCAGTCCCTTCTGGACTTCCAGGGCCTCTGAAGTTTGCGGGGCATCCATGGAAGGAAAGGGCAATTTCAGGGAGCTGCAAGAAGCCCAGTCAAGGAGATCTAGATGACCCGAGGGCCCTGACCCCCACCTAGGGGCATTATCTAGGAGCACCCCGGTCCGAAGTTGAATCAGATAGTGCGGCTTCTTCTCTTGGGAGAGGCCCAGAGGCTGAATGAAACAAACGCTGGCCAGAGAGTCAGGATCCAAATCTGAATTCTGTCGCTTAGGATCTCAGGGACCTCAGGCCGGTCACTTCTCTCTGGGCCTCAGTCTCTTCATTTGGAAACGTAGCAAGGAGACTAAAGAGCCACCTCCCCATTTTCTAGTGCCTTTCAAGGTGCCCCTTGCTTTTTTCATAGCACACAGTTACCGCCAACCTTCTCCTGTCCCTCCCGGCCCCTCCCCACACCCACTCTCCGCAGAGATTGGTCTGAAGAGAAATCCTGCCTCTTACAGCTAATCCTCTCTCAGTGGCTCAGGATCCATGGCCAGTCTAACCTAGGGTTCCCACATGTGCACACACACTCTCTCTGCCAAAGCAGGCTGACTCCTCTCCCTCTTCCCCAGGCGTCCTCTCTGGCCACGACAACAGGGTCAGCTGCCTGGGGGTCACAGCTGACGGGATGGCTGTGGCCACTGGCTCCTGGGACAGCTTCCTCAAAGTCTGGAACTAAGGAGGCTGGAGGAGGGGAGGTAAAAGGCCATGAAGACACAGCTGCTCCTCCCCTGCCCAATTGTTTTTTTAAGGTTTCTTTCAGTTTTCTCTTCTATACCCCAGCTGCCATTCCCACCCAGCTTTGTCCCTTGAGGGCGGTGGGGGGAAATGGGGAGTCTGCCTTTGGGAGGCAGCATCAGGGACACAGGGGCAAAGAACTGCCCCCTCTCCTCCCATGTCTCCCCTCTCCACGGTCCTGCGACTTCTCCCTTAATAAGCGAGGACAACTGACCTCCCCTCAGCCCTTGGCAGGCCTAACAGGCTTCCGGTCTGAGGCCTGGGGCCCTAAAATTCCTCCCCCAGAGCCACCACCTCTATCCAGATCTGGGTGGCAGACAGTGCTCAGCCCTGTGACCTTGGCTCTGGCACCGCTAGGACCCTGGCCCTCGTCTCCTTCATTATTTCTTCCTTTTCTACCTTTTTTATTTCTCTCCTAAAGCACCTGCAATAAAGTGTAGCGCCCTGGGATGTCTGGGATGTTTGGTTTCTGCCCCATTTCTGTTCCAAAAAGATACAGTTCCAACTCAAGTAATAAAGCATTAAAGATGCAACGATAGGGGTACCTGGGTGGCTCAGTTGGTTAAGCGTCAGACTTTGGCTCAGGTCATGATCTCATGGTTCGTGGGTTCGAGCTCTGCATTGGGCTCTGTGCTGACAGCCAGCTCAGAGCCTGGAGCCTGTTTCGAATTCTGGGTCTCCCTCTCTCTCTGACCCTCCCCTGCTCATGCTGTCTCTCTCTCTCTCAGAAATAAAACATTAAAAAAATTTTCTTAATGAAATCTTATTAAAAAAAAAATGCAGTGATAAAGGTTGGGTACCAGACAGCTTGTAGGCAGAGAGTAGGGGGGAGGCAGAAGCCCAGGCCTCACAGAGAAGGCCGGAGACAGATCAGGAGAAGATATTCACCAGGCGGCTGGGAGAGCACACACATAGTAGTTCACTACAACCCGCCTATGGTGAGTCTGTACGGGAAGGTTATGCTGGGAAGGAATCAGATTATAAAAGACCCTGAATGCCAGGCTAGGGCGTAGACTCTATCCTAAGGGCAATGGGGAACAAGTTTTGAACAGAGTGGTTACATGGTCACAGTCATGCTTCTCAGAAAGGTCACCCCTGGGGCGCCTGGGTGCCTCAGTCAGTTAAGTGTTCGACTCCTGATTTCAGCTCAGGTCATGATCTCACATTTGGTGAGTTCAAGGCCCACATCAGGCTCTGGGCTGACAGTGCGGAGCCTGCTTGGGATTCTCCCTCTGCCCCTCCCCTGCTCAGGCTCTGTCTCTCAAAATAAATAAATATGGCTTAATAAAAAAGAAAAAGAAAGGTCACCCTAGCAGCAGTGTAGGCTGATGAAACGGTGGGAAGTGAGACAGAAGAGAAACAAGGCAGGAGGTAGGTGGCAAGAAAGGTAAGATCCATAGAACGGGGGGGGTGGGGGTGGGGTGGGGGGACAGGAAAAGGAGGGGGAAAGGGGAAGAGGTTAAAGAATACGAAATCACCAGAATTGAGTGCCAGGTGCCAGGAGATGGGATATTAACAGGGAAGGGTTCAAGATAATAGCCAAGGTTCAGGTTTGGGCAACTGGCTGATAATGCTGTTATGTTTACAGGGATAGAGAATAGGGGATGAGGAATAGCTTTGCGGGGAAGATTACAAATTCAACTGTAGACAATCTTCCCGTGAAGTGCCTCTGGGGCAGTGGGATAAAGGTCTTACACTTATCCCACTAGAGTGTAAGTAAGTGATACCTAACGCCTTAGAAGGCGCCTAGAGAGAGCAAGAGGAAAAGGCCAAGGACAGAGTCCCGGGGAACACCGGGATTTAAGGTAAGTGTGTAGAAGAGGCTTGGAGGACAGGGAACACAGGCTGCTTTTCTACATACGGAAGCCCAGCGCAAGGTTTAGGTTTAACACTTGAAAGCATAATTTAAAATCACTTTCTTTAATATACAAGAAACAAGAGACACAGATAAAGCCTAAGAAAGTGCTCAGTCCCCAAGTTGGTAATTTAGGCGAAGTCGAAGACGAGCCTTTCCAGTCCCCCAGGGAAAGCAGGGGCGGTGAGGACACAACACCACCAGGCCCCGGTGAATCTGGCGCAGGGGTCACACACAGCCTAGTTTTCCACCAAGTTTGGAAAGTGCTGATTTTCCTTGTCCTGGTCCTGGCCCTGCTCCCACACGCGGCCTCCGGTTTCCAGAAGTCGTCCAGTTCCCGGGATGGCCCCCTCCTTCAGTGTCCTAGCATTCTCGCTCAGGGGAGGAGGCCGCTTGCCCTGCCAAGAGCAGTGTGTGAGTTGGAGGAGGGAGGGGGGATTGTTCAGGACAGGGAAGATTGGGTAGAAAGGCCTCCCACCTCCACCCCTCTCCCCCAGAGTTCCTAGTAACAGCTTTCACCCTCTGGCCATTTACCTGTCGTGGTGTCAGAGTTCCGGGGGAGTTGTCATCCTGCAGGATGGTGAGGGGAGATCTCCCTAGTACCTTGCCATTTGCTTTCCGTCTGTTGTGCTTAGAACCTAGGGTGGGTAAGGAGTTAAAGCCAAAAGCCCAAATTAAGGGTTTACAGTTCACTCCTTGACACTCATCTGTGGACACTATCCCGATTTCTCTTCCCTATCCTTGCCCCTACGTTCTGTACCTGAAGATCGGGGGGTCTCAGGGTCTTTTAAGGGCCTGTCTGAGCCCTGGCTGGCCGTGGGTGTGTGTGAGGGCTGTCCTGCTTCCTCCTTGGAGGGGAGCTCAGCCTGGCTCCACAGTGGCATTTGGTCCTCGAGGGAAAACTGGGTGCCCAGAGGCAAGTCCAATTCAGAAGATGAAATTGCCTCTAGGGGCAGAATGGACTCTGGGGGAAGACTCGATTTGGAGGCTTCTGTCTCAAAGACTTCATTCAGCTGTTTCGCCAGTGGGCCTGGGGGCTCTAAAGAAGAGAAGTCAAGTGAGACAGTGACCCTATGATACAAACCACTCAGCAAGGAGAAGACAGACAGGAACTTTAGGATTCATGCTCTAGTGGGTGAGGGATTGGGAAGAGAGAAATCGAGGTGAGGGGGAGAAAATGTTGAGAGAAGAGCGAGATTGGTACAAAGCAAGAGGAGGGAGCTTCTTTCGAGAAGGAGCTCTGGGAAGATGGCTTCCTTGGCCCAACCCAAGGGTGTTAGGTGACAGCCTTACCAGAACTCCCTGGGCCCACCATTTACCTCCGCCGCTGGTCTTCATAGGTGTCCGTGCAATGCCAAGGGTAGGAGAGCGAGGATCTGAGCCTTGGGCCTCATTAGGACTCTCCAACTGCTCCCCTGCTGGTAGGGTTGGCTGTGGAGAGCTCTCCACCTGGCAAAACCAAAGGCTAAAGCAAGTCTGGACCCTGACTCTTCTTCCCTTCCAGGTCTCTAGCCCCAGGTTGATATTCCAGGCAGGTATGGCCAGGGCCCTCAGGCATTCGGCCTACCCCAACTGGATTAAGAAAGCGGAAAATAAGGCCTCAAATTACAGGGAGGAGGAGGGCGTGAGGGCTTTCTCAGAATCAGGTTAGGTAGAGGCCCAAGAATTCAGACCCTGCCACCCTCCGCCGCCCGCCCCAGAGTACCTGGATGGGAGTGCGCAGGATGCCGGCACTAGGTGACCGGGGGTCCGCCACTCGGGCCAGAAGCTTGTTGTGCGGCGGAGGCCGCGCCGGAGTGACCGGGGAGCTCTTGGCTGAGCCCATCTCCACCAGGAGAAATAAGGTGGGGCGGGGCGGGGCCCGGCCCGGGGCGAGGAAAAGCCTGTGAGAAATGACTCGGGTCTCAGCCATTACCGCGACCACGTCCGATTTCTTGCCTCCAGACCACCCTATCTTCCCGGTTCCAGCTGAGGAACCTCCCCGCCGCTGGGCCAGAGGCCTCTGTGGAAACGACTGTTGCAGCTGACAAGCCGGCTCCTTCCGAGCCTGCTGGGCCGTCTAATTTACTAATTTATTCCAACCACTTACCGGGCCCCAATTCCTCTTTGGGATTCACAGAAGCTCGAGGCTCAACTCTCTAGGCCGAGTTTCAAACCTCCCGCCACGCCCCCTGCCTTGACTCTATTGGTTGAGCCGACGCAGACGCCTATAGGCCCCCTCTATGGGACCCGCCTCCAGCGAGGGGCCGTTGGCTGGGAGGACGTCTGTCAGGAGGACAGTGGGGCCAATGAGCAGCGGCCAGGCTTGCCCAGGGGTGACGCCTCCCTGTATACGGGACTTTTGTCCTGCAACCGGCTGCGAGTTGTCCGTTGTGAGACTCTGAGGAGTGCCAGTCTTCGGTTTTAAGACCTCCGGTTTCAAAACCAAATGATTTTATTTAAAAAGTCATGAATTCTCACGTTATTATGTACATATCCGGCTGGAGGCGTAGTTATGAAGGTTTTTCTGAGGCGAGAGAGATAGTAATCCTCATTGGTCGGCGGAGTTATCAATCACTCGACTAACCCTCTCAAACTCCGCCTCATTGGACAGCCCCTTTTCAAATACCGAGACTACAACTGCCCTTCTATTTTCCGATTGGACAAGACCCTGGAAGGCTTCTGGGATTGATTGGTTTAAACAACCGTCAGTTTCTGCTTTTTGATAGAAGGCACGCGAAGGGACTGTAGGGGTCTCAGAGTACAAGCGTCCAAAACTCCCGGACCCACGTCGCCTCTTTACATGCGCTCTGCCCTGGGAGAGTGGGATTGGTTCTTTCGACCATCGGTTGCATTAGAAGCGCTTTTCATTGGCGTCAGTCAAGAGTAGGGCAGAGGGCGGAGCACTAGTAGGCAGGCTGCGTCCAACTGCCATTCTCGCGCGTCCTCCCTTTAGCGCATGCCCCTAACGAGTAGTGCTCATTGGACGGCCAGACTAGGGGGTGGGGGACTGGGAACGGTGGGAGCTGCTGTGTGTGGAGGAGCTGCTGCCGGTGTCATGGCGGAGCTGAGTGAGGAGGCGCTGCTGTCAGTATTACCGACGATCCGGGTTCCTAAGGCTGGAGACCGGGTCCACAAAGACGAGTGCGCCTTCTCCTTCGACACACCGGTAAGCCCACTCCCCACGCCCGAAGCGAGCACGACTTCCTTCCATCGCCCTGGTCATTCTGCCGGGGCCTGCAAGGCTTGGGCTACCGCCTCCCTGCGATGCACCATGGGACTTGTAGTTTCCCACGCTCCTCCCTGCCGTTGCTTTTAATTAGCTGGCGTTGTCGTGGGACTACTGCCCCCGGAAGCCTCCGCGTCCGCCTCACCCGGTCCCCGCCTCGTGGAGCACTGTGGGGATCGTAGTCGCTCACACCCCTCACTGCCGTTCCAAGGTAGAGGCGCGCCCCGATCGCTGGACTACATCCCCCAAGTGGAGGCCTGCGAAAACCTGGGAGTTGCCCTTGCCTGCCGCGCACGGCTCTCCGGGTTTTGTAGTCTCGTGTGGGAGGGATGGGGCGACCCCGCACTGTTCTTGGGCCGGGGTTTGGGTTGGAGGGTGGGGATTGCAGTTCTGGGCGCCTAGTAGTCTGGAAGTGACCGTGCCGAGGGCCGGTTCTGAGAAAGGCCGTGTTAGACTCCACCCACGGTTAATGTGGACAGGGGGCGGGGAGGTGGGTCATTGGTGGTAGGGAGGAGAGGAAAGAAGGGAGGAAAGCTCTCGTCGTTTCTCCTTTGAGGTGAACTGTGGCCGCAGCCCCCCTTTCCCCGCCCATCACAGAGAGCAGAGGGAACCCTTTTAAAAGTATTCCCAGGGAGACGGTGTCTTTCGTGGAGGATACTAAGACCCCCTCTCCCATCCCGCTCCCACTCTGGACTAGTTAGACAAAGCCTCCACCCACATCATGCTTCACGTTTTGCAGGCTCCACCCGCACCCTCCCTTCCTGCAGTGCTGCCTTCCTGTGTCACCCTCAAGCAGAGACTAGCCTTTGGCCTGGCCAGAGCCTGAGCTGAGAAGGCAGCAGCCTGGTTGGGATCCGCCCCCCTTACCACCCCTCCCGTCAAGCGGTCGCTGGGCCGGACCCAGGGTGTTCAGCCAGACCAGCTCGTGGCAGGGAAAACTGCAAGTCAGAGTGGAAAGGCTTCATTAATGCACCGCCCGTGCTGAGGGTAGCAGCGTGATCTAAGGCCCAGTTCAGGATCATCACTGTGATTTGTGGTTTGCTTGGTTTGCTGGGCTTTAATCTGGCCCTCAGTCAGTGTGCTGCTTCTCTGGAGTCTGGTTTCCACAGAGCCTAAAGAGGGCTGCTCAGAGCAGGGTTCCCAAGCCTGGGGGAAACCCAGCAGTTTTGATTCCAGCGGAGGAATTCCGGAACTCAGAGCTCCTGCATGCCATCCGGTTCATCAGGTGCATGGCTTGGCCCTGTCTTTCTCAGGAGGGAAAGGTTTTTCTTAAGTGCCAACAGATGGTACGAGTCAGTGGCTCCCTCTTCACACTCCTGTCTGTCTCTGCTGAGTAGCTGCTTCGAATAACCCACATGGTGTTTTTGTAAGCTTATTATACTTTCCTTCTTTTATCCCAAGTCAAGAGATCTCCAGTGTGGCCTCGTTGCTTTCCTGACCAACTGCCAGCACGTTTGATTATCTTCAAATTCGGTTCATGGTAGAAAGCTTATTTGCCCTCCATGATGAAAAATTCTCCGTTTGCTCTCGAACATTGTAATCCACACTGTCCTAGGGAGTGGTACAGAGCAGTCTGTGGGGCCAGGAACTGCCTTAGACGGTGCCCTATTTTTCATATCGCAGCAGAGAATTTTTCAAGGCCACTGAAGCATTTATTCGAGGAAGAAGATGCCCGTCGTTGCTTGGATCTGAGGGAAGACTGTTGTTTTCTCCAGTTACCTCCTTCACCTTATCCATCTCTCTTCACAAAGACACTGAGCGACTTGCTCAGTGTTAGAGAAGCTCACCCTCCCTCCTTAGCTGTGATTTAGGGTGGACCCTTCTCTCTCCCTGTTTTCTTCCTGGGTTATATGTGTTTGGGCTGTCTCAGCAGGTGTTGCTAGATTATTCTAGAGAGGGATTGGCTTTGAGGTTGGCAGCTGATGGACATCAGTGGGGGATTTAGTTATCGGTCAGAGGGGAGGCAGCAGGGCGGTGGCTGGAGAATGCTGCTCTTCACGTCCCTGCCGAACGAGGTCCAGGTATAGCAGTGGGCGCCAGACAAGGCATTGTTAGCCGGCCTCTAGCAGGAGACAAGGGAGAGGACTCAGCGTGGACCAAGCTTTGGCGACCTAGTAGGGCATGGTAAAGGAAGAGTCTGGGCTTGCTGGCAGGCTCCGGAGTTGGGTTTATTGTTCACACGCTAAAATCTCTGCTCCTCCAGTCCAGAAAGTTTTCTGAATCCTGGAGATGAGGCGGGGTTTGTCATTGCGTGTTGGAGGGTGGGCGGGGGTGGGGGGGAGATTCAGTGTCTGACATGCAAGTCTTCCCTCTCCCGGGAAAGGACCCCTCTTCCCTCTGAGGGTAAGCACTGGCCCTGGAAGTCCGTGGTGTTTGATTCCCATTGGCCTTAAGGAAAGAGATAAAGGGAGTTCTCTGCTACTGATTGGAAGGCTCCAAAGCCCAAAGAAGGAGCAAGAAGGATGAGGAATGGTGACTGACAGGTGCGGCTCAGCTCCTGGTGTCCTTGTTTGCTGTTACCAATGTCATGGGAGAATGGGGAGCGTCTTAGCCCTGGTCCGGGTCCTAAAAGGCTAAATGACTTCCCACGTGGTGTTAGAGCGCAGAGCCTTTCTTTTGGAAACCGGTTTCTGACCCCGGGTCCTGGTTTCCCCACCCAGCCAGGCTTCATGCCCCCTGTTTCGTCCCCTGCCTGTCGCACTGCAGGAGTCCGAGGGTGGTCTCTACATCTGCATGAACACGTTCCTGGGCTTTGGGAAACAGTATGTGGAGAGGCATTTCAATAAGACGGGCCAGCGAGTCTACCTGCACCTCCGGAGGACCCGGCGCCCGGTAGGCATCGAGCTGGGGCGGGGCCTGGGGACTTTCAGGCACATCCCTCTGGGCCTCCATTTTGAATCTGCCTCTTCCGTTCTGGCTTCCTAGAGGCCTCCGTTCCCCCTCTCGCCCATTTCTGCCGGTGTTACTGAAACTCAGCACACATGTTTTGTTTTGTCTGAGCTCCATTCCCTTCCCCGATTAACCCACTCTGTCCTGTCCACCCTCCCCATCTGTCCCTTCCCTGGCACGCATGGCCGATTCTGCCCTTCCTGCCTCATTGCAGAAAGAGGAGGACACTACTACAGGCACTGGAGACCCTCCCCGAAAGAAGCCCACCCGGCTGGCTATCGGTGAGCACCATTTTGTTCAGTCCGGTTCTCCCTGAGCTGGTCTTTCTTGCCCTTGGAGGGACTAGAAAGGCCCCCAAAGGATGGGCCTGACCAGTGGCCCTAGAGCCCTGAGAGGGGATGAAATGAGGTCCTGTTAGAGAGGAGGGACATTTACCTGTAGTGGCTGTCCTACCTCCTCCTCCCCCTTCCCTGTCTCACCAGGTGTCGAAGGCGGGTTTGACCTCAACGAGGAGAAGTATGAATATGATGAGGACGTGAAGATTGTGATTTTGCCGGATTACCTGGAGATCGCCCGGGACGGGCTGGGGGGACTGCCTGACATTGTCAGAGACCGGGTATGGGTGCCTTCCCGCCGTGCCGGGGACCCCAGGGCACACAGGTCCAGAGCAGTGACGTCTCGGGCGAGCGCTGAGAAAGCTGGAGGCTGGGGGGCTGGAGGGGCACGTAGGGCAGGGGGCTGGGCCCCATCTCTGACCCTCTACTTCCCCCAGGTGACCAGTGCTGTGGAGGCCCTGCTGTCGGCCGACTCGGCCTCCCGCAAGCAGGAGGTGCAGGCCTGGGATGGGGAAGTGCGGCAGGTGTCTAAGCATGCCTTCAACCTCAAGCAGCTGGACAACCCTGCTCGGATCCCTCCCTGGTGAGGCCTGGCCCCTCTGCCTTGAGCCACACCCTCCAGAGCAGGGGCAGAGAGGCCACCCTCCTGGGGGATGGGGGGGCGAGAGTGGTGGGAGCAGGCCGAGGAACGGGGTCAGGAGAGGGGTGAACTCAGCCAGGGGCCGTCCAGAGGGGCGGAGAAGAGCGAGCTTTCCAGCCGGCAGGGTGCCAGCCGCATATACCCCCACCGTGTAGTCCAGCGTGTTTTCTTCTCCCTGGTTTAGCGGCTGGAAGTGTTCCAAGTGTGACATGAGAGAGAACCTGTGGCTCAACCTGACAGACGGCTCCATTCTCTGTGGCCGCCGCTACTTCGATGGCAGTGGGGGCAACAACCACGCCGTGGAGCACTACAGGGAGACAAACTACCCGCTGGCCGTCAAGCTGGGCACCATCACACCCGACGGAGCCGGTACTCCCACCCCTCCTCCAGCCGCCTCCGTGCTCCAGCGGGGTCTACTCATTGTATATGACCCGGGGAGCACGGGAACACCTCCTCTTGATAAACGATGAGAATATTGCAGATGAGACTAGATCTTCAGCTGACCCCCCAAGTCCAGGTTCCCCTCCTTAGAGGTTACCAACATAATCTATGTAGTGAGTGTCCTTCCCAAACCACCTGACCCCAGCACCTTATCCTGGGGGTAGAGTCACGAGCAAGTG